GTACGTAGAGAGCTTTCAACGAGGTTCAATGAGGAACCGGCCGAAGCGTGGAGACACGTGAGCTTTTGTCCTCGCCGACCGACGGCGGGCCCGCGTTTTTGACTTCGCGAACTTTCTTCCCACCGAGGCCCCGAAATTACTGCGGAAAATGTCCGACAAATCAATCGCCGGTTTAGAAGATTTTCTGGGTGGAGGGGGGGAGGGAGGGTCATTCAAGAGGCTATTTTTTTCTCACGACTCGGTAAGGTGATAGGAAAGGGTCAATCTATGTATGTCGAAACGCCGAAATATTTGTAAAACTTCTGCCCAAACTGGGTGCGCCGAATAAATTGAAAGTTCTTAACGCGTGATTATGAAATTTTATCTTTAGAGAGATTTATTTAAAGAAAAATGTCCTTTTTTGCTTCTTCTCCGGGACAAATAGATACTCCTTTCTCGAAGAATAAGATTTCGCGAGTTCCACGACCTTCGTTAAGATATCTCCGTAATCACGTGTTAGAATGTCAAATTAAACTCGAATAAATAGGATGCAATTTTTTTTTCGGAATTGTGAGAATTTACATCAGTTGATTTGGGTCGAATTAAAATATATGTTTCTTTGGTACTACTGAGAGGAATATTTCTTGGGTTCAGTGAATCCTTTCTCTTAGTGCATGTCAGCTGATGCATTCGCCCATACGTCGAAAGCAGTTAAAGGTCAATGATCTATCGGAATTTTTGACAATATGCGACTCGAGAGGAACGTTTCCGATCCGGATGCCGCTCCTGTCGACACCGTCGCGGGGAATCCCTAAATCTTGAAATTTCGGGGCCGCCGTATCAACGGGGCCATCGCACAATCAGGCTCCCCCGTGGAACGTATTCCACCCCGTATCAGGCCGATTCATCGGCCCACGCTGCAGAATTCATATCCGGACCCGGCCGGAAATCGCCGGCGAAAACTTCTCGCTGGCAACGGCTTCGATGAATCGAACTCGCCAGCACTTTCCTCCCGAAATTCCACCCGGCATGGCCGGCCCGGAGCGGGAATTTTAGTAATCTGGTCTCGTCATCGGTTATTTATGCTCTTGGCTCGGACGAGGAAAGATTAACCTCGCTGTCCTCTCCGCGCTTTTTAAATCCGCTCCCCAGCGAGAGAAATGGCCCGCGCCCTTCCGCGCGCAAGAAACGCGGAGAAGTCGGAGCGATTTAGCATGACGTCGACGAGACAAAAGCGCCAGACCGGGGAACAAAAATCGGGAGAAACTCAGTCCCCTTGGAAACGATGAATCCAGAAATAAATGAATCGCCCGTAAAATTAGATTCTATCGAGAATACCATAGGCGGCCATCTTTGCTCGGCGTACTCGGTACACTTTTAAAAGGATAGTAAAACTCGGTGAAAAAAAATGGAGAAATTATTACTTTTCCTTTTTCTTTGGAAAAATAAAATTTCATACTCCTCGGTTGCAGCAATGGCACGGCGCCGAGGTGGTGGATTAAATCTTGTAAACTGCTGGAAAAATCAAAACTTATAAGATATAGATTCGAGGGTATGTAATTTCAAGTTCATGTAGGGTTACAGAGGGGTATGTGAAATTCACATTACATGGTCGAACGGTACAGCTCCTCCGAATTTGTTGTAATTCAGCGGTAAAAATAGAGGAAGGAATGCGAAATTATAAAAAAGATATCGGGTGCACGACACCGAGGTGAGTTTTTCCATTCGCCGGACTCATCGCGACGCGTTAACAACGCTCAGCTCGAAAACCGCAGCTCTTCTTTCCGCCCTTTTCGGGGCAGCTTTTCGACTGCTAATAAACGCGCGGCCGGCACGCGAAATAAAAAGGTCCTTTCATTAGCAATAATTAGGTCAGGTTTTGTATTTATTCCCGAGGTCCTCACTTCCGGGATGCCGTGACAAGAATATCTCCGACGTACGTGCGCGCGCCGGTCCGGAAGTGCGGCGATACCGCGGCGGCTTTGAACAAAACCCGGACAGCTCTCCGTATTTACGTTCACGTATTTATGAACGCGCGTGGAAGGGGTTATGCGAGCAGGCAGTGCAGGCCGCTCTGCGGGCGGACGGGTTGCCTTAATTTTCATTATGTATACCTTTATGAAATATGCATGCAGCTGCAGCTGCGCACGCGAGTCTGCCCACTCCGGCCTCGACTCGGGGCGGAAAAAAGCCGAGCTTGGCGTTCGTCATCTCGTCTACGGCCGATTCTGTAATCGATGTCGACGATAAGAATGTGCCTTTTAATTATCTTTCATTTTCTATTGACAAAACATTGCGTTACACTTTGGACGATTCTAGGGAGTATTCACTCAAGAGTCCATGGAATTTATTAACGTGGAGATCAGCTGGAAATCGATGGAAAATCAGCGAAACATTGTCAGAATTTTTGAGGTCGATCGTCTTGCTTGTTCTTAAATTACATTGTCGTTTATCGTATTAAATGATATAATAACAAGGTTTATATAATTTGTAAATAGTCAACCTCATGAAATAATTAAAACCTTGACAGGTTGGAAATTATGAAGGTTATGAAATTATCTCAACATCTGTCAGGTGGAAACCATTATAAGAACGCTTCGTGACTAAAGGATTGAAGGCTTAACTCGCGAATTTCATGAATCGTTTATTATCCTATTTCATGGGTGGGCACGGCGAAAAACATTTTCCCACCTCGTCCAGGATTTTTATCCGCTTTTCAAGAATCGACTGCGCTTTCGGAATTACGGGGAGCATAATGGCCGCACGCGGAACCTCCGTCCCGCGTTTTCCGCGTGCGCGCGGATGCGTTTGCGTGGGCATGCGGAAACCTACGTGTCTGCTCACTGGCAAGGCAAAACCTCACGGGAATTTGTTTCGTGATTATCACTGCGGAAAACGCGCTTCCGAGCCGCGAGCCAACTTACCGTTCCGCTGGATCCCTCATCAGTCTGAATTCGATCGGGAATCGATTACGAATCGATCAGTTATGCGCGGATCGAGAACCGCAGGTTAGCCCTCGACTTCGGGCTCCGATGTTTTCTACTCGCGGAAAACCGGAAACGGGGTCAGGGATAAGGGGAGCTGGAATGCGAATGGGGATATCGACTCGACACCTTCCCTCGAAGAATGCGATTTTCGCAGCAATTCTCTGCCGCGGAAATTCAGGGGGGTCCGCCATTTTTTCCGTATTTTCGACAACTCCCAATTGCCTGGTCTGATTGCTTATCGCGGATAATCGGCACTGTCGCTCCTTCACACCTATTTATTTATTAATTTCTCTGCTTTTTTTTTTCCTGCAAAGGTTGACTAAAAAAAGAATAAAACTTCTATTCGAAAGAACCAGACTGCTAATTACCGTAACTGGATTAGATTGTTACGCTCTTACTATTTTTAGTAAAATGTTATCTGGTCGAAATAACGATGCGACAACAATATCCCGCGATTAAATACGTCGAAATAAATGTCGGATAGAGTACACGAAATTCGTTTGAATCAACATCAATTTTCCTTCCTTCAATTATATATTTTTATTATTTCTTTCAATTATATATGATTCTGGCAACAATATATATGTCAACAGTGATATGTTGCGGTCAACAATTTTTTTCTCAGTACAGTTATGTTAACCAGAACTTGTTGTTTTTTTCTGTTCGATAGAGAGGTATAGGAAAATGCGTTTTGAAATTATTTTGGGAGCACCGAATCCACCCGCAAAGTTTACCGAAGGGAACCCTCCGAAAACGATACACCGGATCAAAGCTCCCCACATAGAGTTAATTTAATCTCCGGTGAGCGCTTTATTAGCCGATCTGTTATCGACGGCCGTTAATAAACAAATGAGTCGATGTTTGTCCACATGATGGCGACAGAACTTTAAACACGCCGGCGATTATTAAAAGTACTGCGGGCAAGGGGTAGACGGAAAAAGGGGAAAATAATTTAAATCGTGAGCTTGAAGGACCGAGGGGTTGTTAATATTATTTGAAAACGAAGTCGTGCCGAGTTTTGCCGATTGGCGGAAATGCTTTTCGTTGTGTTCGCTGAATCGCCATCGAACAAACAGGGGAGAGAACTCGTAAATCTCCGGTGAATTTCCGTAGATGTATTTTACAAAACCGCGCCTCATCGGAAAAGGGGCCACCGGGTATTAGCGTTCGACGTTTCATGAAATTCGTAATTGTGCCCTCCCTTCTTCATCCGGATTACGAAGGAAAAGCTCCACCCCGATGATTCGTCCCGGAAAATTAATGCAATTCATGAATCGATTCGCGGCATTTATCGCTCGATTACGGATGGCTTGAACGGCGACTGAACCGCGATGAATCGTGCCACGGAGATACGCCCGAAACGATTCGAAGGGGCAAAGATGAAATTTGGATAAATTAATTATTTCGAGAGAGAAAAACCTCGCCTTTCCACGGGCCGCGATACAAAGCTCCAATTCGTCCTGGAAAATTTCTCTCTGGTTTTTACTCTTACCCTTATCAGGGCAAGCTTTAAACTCTGTATATTTAATTTTCCAATCAAGCCCATCGTTACTCCGAGAATGGGCTTAGGAGACTCTGAAAGAGCCAAAATGAAATTTGGCTAACTGAATTTTTCGCTCCAACGTCCCAATCCGTCCTAGGAAGTGTATCTCTTGATTTTAACGTCGAGCCAAGCTTGAAACCCTGCATATTTAATTTTTCAGTCAAGCCTACGTCACTCTACGAATAGAGTTACGAGACTCCCTAAAACAGCCAAGATGGCGAACTGAATTTCTCGCCACAAGATCCAAATTCGTTCCAAAGCATTCATTGTTTATTTTTATTTTACTCAAATCTAACTTTAAACTCTGGATATTTCATTTTTCAGTCTAGCCCATAGCCACTTTGCGAATGGCTTTGCGAAACTCTGAACGTGCTAAAATGAAATTTGATTACTGGAGTTCCCTGCCAAATTAAAATTTCTCCCAAAAAATTCACTTTTGACTTTTATCTTCCTCAAGTCAAGCTTTAAACCCTGCATATTTGATTTTTCAGTCAAGCCCATCGTCACTCTGCGAATGGGCTTACCCCTGAATCCCGAGGGCATCAAGGAGGGCGACGACGTCTACTTCGAGTGCAACGTCAGAGCAAACCCCTCGGCTTACAGACTCACCTGGTACCACAACGTAAGAAATATTCATGGTAGTACGTAATTCATGCCCGCAAGCATTGCAAAGGAGCCTCCGGAAATATTCCCGCAATATGCGTACGCCTCGCAAAACTGGAGCACGCAAGAAGGCGGCGTTCTCCAAGGACCCGACCGCCTCCCTTTCGCGAAAGACATCCGAAACCCCTTCAAATTTTAATTCCCCTTCCATAAGTTCCATCTATCTCTACCCGGCAATGTTTAAAACGATACACCCCACAGTGGGGCCAGAGAGGGTGAAAACTGGCATTAAATCGAACCGTCATGGAGTGATTTTGTAAATTGCATATTTCGTTCCGGTCCCCTTCGTAATGTTAAAGGAAAAGCATGTACGCAGCTTCTTGAGTTATTTTGGTTGGTGATGAAGATGCGGACGAAGATGACGATGAATATAATGTAATGCTGTAAATTCCTGATCAATAAAATCATTCATACAGCTGCTTTATCGTTTTACTTGTCCTGATAAGTACTACTCCTTACTAATTGAACGAACCAAAATAACTCAAAAAGCGGCATATATGCTTTTCCTTTAACACTACTAAGGGAACCGGGAAGAAATATGCAACTTAAAAAATCACTGCATGACGGTTCGATTAAATGCCAGTTTTGACTCTCTCTGACCCCACTGGGCATTCCCTAATAGATCCCCTTCCAAAAATATGGACGGACTGATAAAGCCCGATTTAAAACCTAAGTAGAGCATCGGCCCTCTCAAGCGAGGAGGGTGGATCCGCGGGAAGGGGGAATTTTCCCAGGGAAATTTCCCAGGGAGTCTGGGGTTTAAAAACCCGCAGAGAAAAAAAAAGGGCACTTGCCCATCCGCCGAGGATGGACACCCGGAAAGTGCACTTTTGAGGTCCGCTTGAAATCCGCAGGAAAACAACCGAGCCGCAAAGTTCGGCGGCGCTGGTAACGCTAACGTAACGCCGAAAATCGAGGAAAAGCTGCTCAGACGGGATTTCATTTTCCGATTGTTACGGGCCGAATGGTTTCCCCCGGAATTTTCCACCCCAGGGCGACCTGGACCCGAGGAAGCTGGGCTGAAGGACAAAGTGAACTCCTCCAGCTCGTGGAATTACAACATTAATGGCCAGGCTCTCAGGGGGAACGTAACGCTGTCATTCGAAACGCTGCCTCGAAGTTCCCGGAAAAAGCGAGAAAAGAGCACTGAAAGCACCGTCGAGGAGACGCGGAATTCCGCGTCGACAGCGAGTGACTGAAAAACCGGGAAAAGTGCACGCCTGCTGAGAGTATTAATAAAAAGTAACGACAAGAGAGCTCGTATAAATGCCAGTCGTCTCGGATTTTCCAGCGATCTCCCGAGTCAAATTATCGATCTCGATTTAACCTCTGAATGCTTTATTCTTTTGACCATTCAATTCGCCGACAGCGGTCCCATTTAGTTCGCTAAGAAACACGGAGTTCATTTTTCTCATTACAACCTCCTTGGAATAATTGATTTGTGGGAGAGCTTCAAGAACCTGAGAATAAAATGGGAAATCCCATTTTGTATAAGTCAGGCCTGAAGATCTTCAAACAATTGGTAGTTGGAGAGTAAATAAAATTAAGCGAGAAACATATAAAATACGTGAGTTTATTTTATCGGTAAATTGGAGAAAAAGAAATATAATCTTAAATATGTAACACTTAATATCAGGATGTCTGTTCAAAGTATATGAGAAATTCATAAGGTATTCTATTCAGAGAAATATTTCGCTGCTTAAATGAAAATCTCTTTTCAGTGTTGGAAAAGGGACATTATTGTACGTTTGAGGTTCAACCTTTTCCAATATTAATTTCTCCCATTACATCCTCGAGTCCTCACGTGAGTATTTGTGGTTTATACGTGAATGAGGTGAAAACGTTCGACTCGATTTCCTCTTCTCGCTCTTTCGTCGCCATTCGAGCGCGCGTGAAATGCGACTTGACTATTCGCGTCGGTTGATCTTTCATTTCGGGGACGGGGATTCCGTCGCGGAAAGGAACCACGAATAAGGGGCCGGGAGCTCGGCGTTTCCTTTTTCCGGGCTTTTTCCTTCATTCCAGCTGGCACGGCGACGTAACGTACGGGCGAACGCGCTTGTAAAGAACGAGGAGCGAGCCTTCCGGGAACGCCGAAAATCGCTTAAAAAGACTCGCAAAGGAGACCGCGCCGGAAGAACCAATTTCCAGAGCCCGTTGGACCGAGGTTACATATCAGCGAGGAGAAACGAACGGGCGAACAATTTTCCTCCTGAGAAATCGATAAATTTCCATCTCCCTCCACCCGCCCGGAAGGAGACATAACCTCCGCGAAAGAGGGGATTTGTATTGCATTACACAGCCGGGAATTGTTTAACAGGTCTCGTAAAAGCCCGGCCAATTACCGAGACCCATTACACCGAGATTACGTACCGGTGATCCGGAAAATCGACTCGGTATTTCCGCGAGGAAAAATCGACCGTACCGAAGATTTCCTTCGGAAAACATAAAGTCGACCGAAACTAATAACCTTTCAGTAACGGAAATAATAATTTATAACGCATCGATATCAAAACTACCAATTTTCAGATTTTCTATCAGGTCCACGGAAAAAAAAAATCGGCACTTGTAACAAAAGACATTTCTAATAAATTTTTCCTCTTACTACTTGTTTCGACAAGACACTTGTTTCTTGCAATTGTAAGAAATTCAAGCAACAATATATATAAACAATAAATATTTCAGTTTTTTATTCTGAATAAAACAAAATTGTTTCTGGATAAAAATTTGTCCGATCCATTTTCAAGTGTTCGCGATTGTTAAAGCAAGTCAAATTACTTGTTATGGCTGCGAATCCTTTTTCTGTGGGTAAATGGGTTTCAGGGGGTTTCCATGCCGGTGTAAATTATGGGATTATGAAGACTAAAGCGCGAGGATACTCGAAAATGTTATCCCTAGGACGAGGGGCTAGGGGGGCCCATGGAAACCCATAAAAACTGGTTACACCGAGGCACTTCACTTCGCGGCTCATATTTGCACCACGGTCGGAATTACCGTAAATTTACCGGGATGCCGTTGTCACTTCCCGTCCATTCACCGGCCTCGCGAGTTCGAACCAATAAATCGGCCCGCGAATCACCGAGCCGCGTCAGTTTACCAATCCGTAAAAACGCTCGCACCGGAAATTTTCCCGACGCCGCGCCGGGTGCGGCCGATGCACCGATTTCGGCGCACGCTTCTCGCCCTCGAGCCCGGTGCAACGATGCACTCTCGTTCATCGGGAGCCGGGGGTGTAGATTTTTTTTTTCGGTTCAAAAGACCCACGATACAATTGCTCGACGACCAGTCATTGAGATGCCGGTCCTGTACACGGCACAGTCGCGTGAATAACATTTTAGAGCATGGATGCCGCTCCCCAAACGTGTTTCCATTTTTTTCCCGAGACTTATTTCCTTGATTTTCTGTGGATAAACAGAGAATCTATATATAGGATAAAAATAAACCAAGGGTACTAACTCGTGTTTATGGAAATTCATGAGAGTTCAGGACGATTTTTTAGGGAATTTCTTTCCGGGAATTTGTAGGATTTAAGTAGTCGAAGGGTCGCAATGGTCAGCCGCGGTAGTAGGGTATCCACGTGGGATTAAATCGAGACAAATTTGCATAATACCTTGTACATAAAAACTCCTCGAAGTGAAATGAAACCTCAGATTTTCTGTTAAAAAATTCCTTTCCGCAAATTTCTTAGGTTATATGTAAGTAGTCGAGAGATTGGAACGACCCGCCGCAGTAGTCGCGTCCGCCCTCGGTCAGCCCTAAACTCAAAGTGCATCGTACGAGTGCCATTGTAACGATCTTCATTGTAGCCATTTATCGAGCCTTCCTGCCTTATAGATTTGGCGTTCCCACGCGAGTTCTGCATCATGGCAAGGTTCCACGGTCTGATCCAGGAAACGCATTTCTTAGGCCACGAGAGCTCGCATAATCGCGCCTCGCTAATAGGTATAACGAAGCATCGGAGCCACTAATCCCAGGAGAGGCTCAAACGAACGCCGCGATCCGGGAAGGATCTCGGCTGCCTCTATATCACCCCTGCTATCCACTATCTACGATAATCCCCATCGGAGTAGTTGGCCTTATACTATGTAAGATACACGGGACGATTACCCTTGGTCCTCACCTTCTCCGGCACAAATTCGATTTCTCCCAATGGTAATTATTTCACATTTCCAATTCGCATTAAATCCACCTCAATAAACAACGGTGTCGGTGCGACGAGTCATTGTTTTCATTTTTCTTTTCCTTTTTTTTTTCCCCATGAAATTTTTCACTCGGAACGGGCACGACGCGAGCACTGGAACGACACATGACGTATGTGCGCATTGAGCTCGAGAGCCCGGTAGAAGTTCGAGTACCAATCGATTACCTCGAGCCAAGAGAAGAGATTTTGAACGGCATTGTGCCACTTTACGCAATACCGCCTCCCTTATACGGGCGAACCCCCGAGCTGCAAGTTTCCATCTACCGTGTACATACATACATCCTCGAGAATATTTACTCTCGCATCTCCTCCCATATATATAGATATACACGTGTACCCTCCTATATCCGTGTGCAGGGCACATATCCGCAACTGCGCAAAATAGCGCGCACATTCCGGGCGTGTATGCCGGTGCACGCATATTATCCTTCTGACGCGAATACTAATATGCAAAAGCCTGTGCCAAAATGGGTATGTCACAAGTACGCCGAGAGAATATGCGTGCGTGGCAGCCCAGCATGAGAGATCTATGTGTGTGTGTGTTTGTGTATATATATAGATAGCGGCCCTTAACCGCCCAAAATCTAATATTCAGTTTGACAAAACGTTCCCCATACAGCGTGCAAACGTAATTACAGACCTTATTACTAAATCACAGGCGCGTTTTATTCACCGAAATCGTAATTAAAATCTCTTTGCGAGGCGACGCCGCACTTGTGCTTGTGCATTACTCGTGTACGCGTTGCGGAGGGAATTGAATGAAAATCCCGAATTTTTCTTCAACATTTCGCAACGTCACTTTAAAGTTACGTGAAAGGGGTCTCTGAGAGGTGTCGTTTATGAAACTTTTCTCCGAACTGGGTATACCGAATCGGTTGAAGTTTTACCTCGTGAATATGGAGGCCCTAAGGAGGGTCCTGAAATTTATGAAGTTTTATTTCTCAAAAAACAACATTTTTCTTTATCCCAGACTGGAACTAAGGACACGTTAAAAAGAGAAAAGAAGAAATGAAATTTCATTAGCATCGCGTTCTTCCTAGGGTAGGAATAATCACGTACTGCCGTTTCGAATGATTATGTACACCTAGTTCGGAGAAAAGTTTTATAGATATTTTCACGTTTCGACATATATAGAGTGACCCTTTTGCAATACCTTAAGGGTCACTCGGAGCGGTTCGATGGATAGTAGAGCCGAAAGTGGATCGGAAAAATCGACTGAGGGAAGATATCAAGAACGTGAGGCCATCCTGGTGCATGGGGAACAAGGAACTGCATCCGCCGACACTCTTCCGAGTGAAATACCGAAAACGTACCGCGACATGCCGGGAAGACCTAACGTAGTTCCAACTTTCTCAGGGTTTTGAGGTGGCATGCGAAAAACGACCTCCTCCCGTGGTAGAATTTTCGACGAGAGGTCGAGCACTCGAGGTATTCCTGTGGAGGAGCTCTCGCGTCCTGCTTATTCCACCTGGCAGTCCGTCCAGGGTCCTTTGTCGGAAAGTTAGGGGGGATTTAAGCCTTGACGGGTGGGCGACCCTTTGTGTCGCACCCCCAGGAGACATCGGCCCCGAAAGCCCGGATCTCCAGGTGTACCCTCGTCCCTTTGCTCCCAGGATGGTCCTTTCTTGGCCCGGTATTGCGGGCTCCTCGGCGCTCCCTAACTTTTCCGGTCAACTTCCCAAAGGTAATGGAGCCCCGCGTTGACTTTGGCGAGCCAGACTTTGTCCTTCCGGTTTCTTGACCACTAACGTGTACACCACCTCCGGTTCGACCTCACTTTAGGACTCATCTGCGCCTGAGACTCGTCCCCGGGTACCCCTTTGTCGTCGTTTGCTTCCTCTGCCTCGAGCCATTGATTTTATTTTACACCGAGACAAAGACTTGAACCAAAGAAATATTTCTTCGAATGGCACCAAAGAAAATATTTCGTTAATTCAAAGAATAATGATTTGACTCGAAGAAATTCACGTAGATTGTCACCATACAACCGATTCGCACGTTGCATCCGATTCATTCGAGGGTATTCATTTGAAGTATTTCTTTGGTTCAATGACACTCTTTTCTCCGTCCACCTTTAGATTTCATTACAGTTCGATGTATGATTTTTATTAGTTGAATTCGATATGATTTCGTGTTTCATTTCCTTTGTCCCGTTTTATTTGTCTAGCTTCTGAGATGAGAGGACCGATACCAAGCGCGAGATCCTGAGGTAGAGGAGGCGATATCGAGGAGTCTGTAAGGTTTAAATCAAATGTATTATCAATTAATCGAAGCTAGTGCGGGTTCGCCAAGTATTGAAATTTCTGTACGCTTTTCGAACGAATTACCGATGTCGAAACGACGTTTTTTCTTTTCAGAACGAGGAACTCCATCGCAACGTGACCGCAGGCGTGGTGCTGTCCGATCAGTCGTTGGTTCTTCAAGGTATCACCAGGGATTCCACAGGAAATTATACTTGCCTCGCCACGAACGTGGAAGGGCGGCAGACCTCCAACGTCGTGTCCTTAAATGTGATGTGTAAGTCTAGAGAATGAAATACCGAACATTAAGTATGATGGTTTCAAATTTCCGCTGGTAAAAATAGTACATTTAGTCAGCGCATCAAAAATCATGCCAGGAAGTACAATATTTTGCATGCATTCATTACCTATCAATGAATCATTTGTCCTGCAGTCGCGCCGATTTGCAAGCACGTTGTCAACTTCGGGGGCTGGAGGTATCAGAACGCGACCCCGCCTCCTTACAACGTCCCCGAGGAACTACATGGCGCCCTGAAACACGAGACCGTCAGTCTGGTTTGCGAAGTCGATGCCAGTCCAACGACGGTTACCTTTCAGTGGACTTTCAACAGTAGTGGTGACCTAACCAACATTCCGACCTCGAAGTACACGAACGAGGGCACCACCAGTCGTTTGAACTACACCCCGGAAACGGACATGGACTATGGGACCCTAGGATGTTGGGCCAGGAATTTTGTCGGCGCCTCGAAGCAACCCTGTCTCTATCAGGTGGTAGCAGCAGGTGCGTTTCCGTGAATCGGCAAATTTTTGTCATGGATTTTGTTAGCACCTCGAAACAACGCCATCTCTATCAAGTGGCAGCCGCAGGTGCGTTTCCGTGAATCAACTAATTTTCCAGGAATTCTGTTGGCATCTAGCTATCAGGTGGTAGGCACAGACGCGTTGTCCTTAATCAGTTGATTCACCTGGCGAGCGGGCACCAATCAGCCTGGACCAAAAATCAGCTCCCCATCTGGAACGATAAATTTGCCATAAATTTTCGTACAAAAGCGGATCAAAGGAATCGCGGAATTCCAATAACGTGCAGGACAAAATCGCGGATTAATCATTGATGCCGAATCACGTTATATGTTTTTACATTAACATGGATTTATTCCCAGGGCGACGTGTTTGCGAGCGCGAGTCACATTCGCGATCGGCTCGACTGTCGGTTCTGCTTAAAGGGCAGGTCGCGGCGAAATTCAATTGCGTCGCGATGCGTGCGTTTTGCTAAATTTAATGAAAAACCATAATTGAATATGTTCATTACTGCCGGGCGCAACGTTCGAGTCGAACGGCCGCCGGGGAATTACTGGCCCCCGGGAGCAAGGCCGACATAGTAATGACGCGGGTCAAAATATTCTCCGCAAGCGGACGTGGCACCGGGGAAAGTTTTGGCCGGGAATCGCCCCACACCGTACACGCGAGGCGGGTCAATAGCCCCCCGGCAGACCGTGCCAGGGTTGTGATCCCCACTCCTGCTAATTGGACACATAATTTATTTTGCACCGAGGGGCAATGTATTTCTTATGTAATTACGGGACAGTAGTTTTTGCGACGGTCCGACCGTACCGGAAACGGCGCTCGACGCGAGCAATTAAATCGGTAATTGAAACGACAATACCGGCCGAATTCGCGCACTCGATGGAGACGCCGAAATTGGGTTCGCATCTTTTATCCCGCAGCTTTTTACGACACAGAAAAAGGGGGGAAAATCCTCCCGATATGGTTTTCGCTGCTATCACGACCCTTGTTTCCTGAGATCCGTTTAATCAGCGGTAAACGTTTAATATTCTACATATGTCCCTGCCCTGGAGCAAGGGATCAGGGCAGACGTGATCGAATTAAGGTTCCCAGAGGGGCTGATAAAACGAAGCTGGAGGAGTCCTGAGTCCTCCGACGAGGAGGTAAATATTGTTCGGCCAAAGGGTTGGAAGAAACGTCCCAGAACTCCCCCTCGATCGGACGAGGACGTAGATACCATTTAACGAATAGGCTGGGGGAGAAACGTCTCCGGAGGGAAGCTCAAGCTTCGTCGACGACGATGGAGAAAAAGAGTCCGGAGCAGTCCGCAACCTATCCGATGGTTTTAGCGAACGGGGATTATCTCCTCCTCGGGAGCGTTCTCGGGTTCTTATCCTTCTCTCCGCCGCAAGTTCCCTGGGGATAACGCATCTACATCTATTCAATGTGGATCCTCCGATAAGGGCGAACGCTTGTTCGACGTCGTCCTCCCGGAGTTTCCTCCTGGCGCTGGCAGTCCGCGCGAGGTAGGAAGTATTGCGAGCTCTATGAAATCCCGAAAAAAAGAGAAAGAATGACAAAAGGAAGACGAAGGAAAACATCGATTTCTGTGCGGGGGAACTTTTTATGCGAGAACTTCGGTCCGGCTCGTACACGGAAAATAGCGTCATGAAAAATGTACACGGCTCCGAGGCACCCTTGCGTATACGTCTGCCGAGAATCCACCGGAAGTCCGGAGGAAGCGGACGAAAATAACTCGCGATAAGTTCCCGGTAAATCGCTACAAATGCATTCTATTTTCCCAGTATTTCTGAAAACGGGCTAGACCCGATTAAGGCGACCCGAAAGTGGCGTCCAAGGGGTTTATGAAAGTTTCCCAGAAACTGGCAGGACAGAATCGTATAAACTTCAACCACGTGAAAATGAATACCCTGGGAAACGTTCATATATATACAATTAATTTACAAACGAAAAATTTGTCATAAAAAAAGGAGTTTCACGAGTGACGGTACCTTCGTCGGTAAAGCTTTTTAACAATTCTAGATAGCTAGTTCTGAGAAAAGTTGAAAAAATGACTGACCCATTGTTCGCAACTTTCGTGTCGCCTTAAATTCGCCATTTGAGCTGTTTGAATTTGTTTCGACCTACTTTAGTTCTCAGAAAACGTGAAATTTTCCTCGCAGGCAGGCCGTTCCCGCTGCAGAACTGCACCTCCTACAGCCACAGCGGGGCCTGGGTCAGGATTTCCTGTATAGAGGGCTTCGACGGGGGCCTGCCGCAGAAATTCGTGGCGATGGTGGACAAGCAACGCTGGGAGTCCGCTTATCCCTACTGGGAAATCGAGCTGGTGAAGCCCAGCAGGGTTGCGCTCTACGCGGTCAACGTCAAGGGCTCCAGTGATCCCGTCTTCATGGACGGCATCGCTTTGAAAGGCGTCGAGAAATTCACCGGTGCGTGATTCCAGGGCACCATTTGCATAATAACCGAAAGGGAGCCATCCAAACACACGCGTGCGGGCACAAACGGGACCTCCTCCATCCTGGCCATCCTCTTTGCATCCCTATCCACGTTTTTGACTCGTCGCTTCGCGCATCGCCGGACGAGAAAGCACCCCATGCCAAGAAAGAGAATCTCCCCTCGATATTTCCGCCGTGGTCCAGTCAAAATGCCGAAATTTTTCCGCAAAAAGGTCCCACCTCCGTCGCTAAAATAGAGGAAAATTATTTGGCGAATATGATCAACGATATAATCAGAAAACAGCGGCCATAGAAAAATTAGGGTAATAGGGAAATTATAGAAATATCTGAATATAACCAAAATTCGAATCCAGCTATTTGTATTATAACGTAACAATAATCGTGATGTAGAAGTCGTCCAATGTGCGACTTGAAATTTTCGAGTAAATATTGTATATAGTATAGTAGAGAATTCTTATAATTGAATAATTGGGATAAATCCCGCGATATGGGCAATCTGTTGGCCCAGTTTGCCGACTTTCGGTTTGCGGATTCGCCTCCTAGACAGGGACTCGCTTATTAGGGATTCGCTCGGATTCGCTTGCGCAAACAGCGTCTACATAACGTGTGTAACCAAGAGGGCGAATATCTCGATCGGCGATCCGACCGCGCGTGCATTAATGGAATTTCGGCTAAACCCAGGTGAAATTCGTTGGACAGAATCAGGCCTCTCCCCTAGACGGTGGTTCTAACTTTTCTTCTATTTTAATCCCCCTTCCACACCGCGGAAATTTGCGCAACCTCCTACCGGAAGGAGGATCCCGAAAGTAATTATGGGAATCGCGTCTGCGAAATTGCGAAGGGGGTGGGGGATCAAGGGATTCCGGGGAGGTTTAATCGAGCGATACTTCTCGGCATGCCTCGCCTGTGATTAGGGATCCTCCGGGAGAAATCTTTATCTCGTTGCCGAGGTTTCTCCGGAAAGCGCCCTGATAAGATACACAGGCGTTCCAGAAGGGATGCATTGCAGTCGGGGTGCGTTATCAATTCTTGCACTGTGAAAGAAGTGTCATTGAATCAGAGAAAAACTTTCCCTTGAATAGTACCAAAGAAACGTTTCCTTTTAATTCAAAGATGGAAGTAAACTCGAATAAATTCTATGCAACGTTCCTCCGGAATTATGACAGTTTGTGTTTGGGTCGAATAATTCTTTGGATTAAGAAAATATTTCTTTGGTACAGTGAATTATTTTTCTGAGTGTAGTAACATTCGTAACCGCAGAAACCGAAAACAAGGGGTCGGCTTCCCCCGTTCGAACAGAATTTTAGAAGGGATCATTTGAAACGTAGAGTGTCTTCCGCTACCCCGGCCATTTTCTAGTGAAACATCACGATGCGAATAAATATAAGGACCCTTCTTCCATGCAAACCGTAGCGGCCGTTACTACGTAATCCTCTTTGTGTATGCCAGCGCGAGTAGCAAGAGTTGCGCCATAATCGCGGCACGTTTTGGGGCTGGCCGGGGGAGCGGGGATATCATTGTCGGTATGCAAATGAGAGGTCTACCGTTCGCCGGAATACGGAAGGGTCAGCCTTCGGATAGTTGGGTAAGGTCGTGGAGGTAGCCTCGTTTCGCCGTGAAATGCGAGTAAAGCTCCTGCCCAGGGCCGGCGAAGACCTTTACGAGATTCCGCGTCCTGAATTATGTCGGGCTTCCTGCAGTTCCCGAAAAGTGGCGTCGAAGTGTCCAAAATTGCCAACAACTCGGGCACCGAGCTTGACCTATTCACGAGCTCAAGATTTGCGTCCTCCATCTCCCTCCGGATTTCAGCTACTCTCGAAATACGCTGTCCTGCAAAGAAAAAAAAAACACGTACATTTCCGGGCATCTCCGAATACGCCATTTACATTCTTTCTTTCTTTTTACATAGAAAAGTACATCCAAGTAGAAATCTTAGTTCATTAAACAAAATCGCTCGATTGCATTTTCTCCATTTGGCTCATTTCCGAATTCGTTTAGGTTGAGTCAACCGAATGTCAGTTCATTTGACCAAACTCGTTTGTTTCGATCGACTAAAATGTATTGGTTGAATTGTTTTGTTAGGTTTAGAGAATGTTTTAATCAACGAACCCAATGTTTTGGTTAAATTTACCAAATTACTTCAATATTCGATGCAATCGACCAAAAGTTACGAACCAGTGAGCTTTGTCACGTCAGGCAGATATTTATATTTACATGTCATATTAGCCTACAATTGAACCAAAAAAGATTTCATTGATTCGGCCAAATATTTTTCCGCGGGTGGAAGAAAAAAAAAGGGGGGGTAGCACCTTTTCCTTCTCCTGGGTGGAAAATCAAGAGTAAGACCGCCAGGAATATTCCCGGGCGAGGTGGTCGGAGCTCCGATAGCCAATCCAAGCATCGAGATGACATTATTTATGGATAAACTTTCCAGTTAATTTTCCACCCGCTATCCATCTAGCCGAGGTCCTTCCCGTCCCCCGAGGCCGCCTTCGACCGCCTCGACGATTGGCCAGGTCGGCGAGGAATTATTTACTACCCCGATTCGCGAAAAGGCAATTCGTTTCCAGGCGAGTCCGGCTCGTCGGTGGACATGTCGCCGATCTTAATCGGTCTTGGAGGCACTGCCACGGGGCTTGGATTAATCGTGACCGGCGTTCTAATGGCCCTCTGGAGAAGACACGCCGCTACCCCGGCAAAACCAAAACCTCCCCAGCAGCCCACGATCGCCACTTTCACGGGGAAGGGCGAGGAGGACGACGGAAATCCTGACCTCATCCCAACAACGGCGCTCTCCAATCATGCTGGTAATCACTTCTTCGCGAGTTTGACTTCCCCCCAATCCCCCCTTCCTTTTTTCCAGAAAATTCAATACTACAGCGGTTCCACAAACCCGAAGAGTCGTTCCCGGCCGCGAAGTACCGTATACGTTTGCGCATATCCGCGCTTCTGGAACTACAAATACACGGGGCGAAAAATAGAGCGAAGTAACGTTTCATTTTCGCCGTCCCACTCGGGGGAAGGGGTTGAAATCTCGTCAGGGGGAAATCTCGACGAGTTTTTGATTAAAGAAATATGTACCCACGTAGACAGGGAACGACTCCAACGGGTAACATTATTAAACCCGAGCCCATGTGTCAGGATCTCGTACCGCTCTTTTCAGACAGAAAGCTACCAATTTACGGATCTCTACCCCGAGGACCTCGTCACGTGGAAGGCCGAGAGCATCCACACGACGTGCTAGAAGACCCGGAGTGCCAGCGAAGAACTGCCAACGTGAGTCTAGGGTGTACACCTGCCGAAAAATCCAGGAATGGATTCGACCACCCGACGTTGTCCTCGTCCTTGCAGTCCTACACGTCCCAGGATGATGTACAGGAGCTCGTTTCTCCTGAAATCCCTCGACGAAACAGTCGATGGTGCACCTCGAGTTCCCGATGTGACAGTGACTCCAAATCGGGTTGTCCTTCGAGGTTTTCTCTTTCCTGGGGAGGAACAGATCGCAGTATTAAAAACCCTTCATTATGGGACGCACTTTAGAGTACCTCTTGTAACCCTGCGCATAATTCCCCATCTTCTCCACGCTTAAGCCTACGGATCCTCTCGGTCTCTGCCTCGCGGATATCTCGTCTCCTCGGAGAGGATTACTATAAAAACATTCCCGAGATGCGGCGACGAGGGAGGTCGTAAGCGACAGGAAATGCGAGAGACAAACGCGGAATGAGAGTCAGGGCGAGCTTAAGGAGCTTTCTAAGGGGGGCGTCAAAGGTGGAAAAAGAAAACGGGTCGCTCTTCCACCTCCGCGAGAGGATGGAGAGATTCGAGGGCGAATACGAGAATGTAAACGTGGGAGAGGCGACGGGGCTTACCTGTATTTTTTATTTTCCAGACGTTTTACAGCCTTCGGAGGCCGACTCGTTATCCGGAGGCCATCATCAGAGGCACTGCCATTCAGGAGAGCTGCATTTAAGGGTGGATGACGATCGAGGGATCCCTTCTAAGGAGAGGACGGAAGGGCCGCATCATCCGCTCCCACCTGGTCGTAAACGGGAAACATTCGGAATTACGACATGTTATACATGTTTAAACGACGAGACGATATTTATAGGCACTAAATTGAATATGCGTTTGTAAATATTGTATATAAATGGAAGAAAAAAAAAATCAAATAAGGAAATGAGCACGCTGCGCCTCGATGTCCCCAAATCCTGATGTATCCTGAGAAAAAAGTTCATTGAATCGAAGAAATAATTAGTCTAATTCGAAGAATAATTATTTTACTCAATCAAACTCAGATCAACTGTCGTTATGCCGAAGAGATGTAGTGTCCAATTTATTCGAGTTCTTTGGACTAACAAAATATTTCTGTAGTACTATTCAAAGAAATATTTCTTTGATTCAATGACACTCGTTTCTCGGTGTAGTAATAACTTCCTTTCGCAGGTTTTAAGCGGGAAAAGGAATTTATTTCTCGTTGCGTTTGACCCCGGTCGCGATTGTGGGACCGTAGAGGCCAAGACTCGCGTTTCGACGAATCGAAGACGAAGAGAACTTCTCGGAGTTCCTTCGCCCTGGGAAAGTCTGACTAGCGGGCCGCTCTTAAAAGTATCGTTAATTTTCCGGGGAACCTAATTTGCTGGCGCTGAGAGGAGGACCAAAAAGTTCGACCCCTTTTTAACTCGACAACCGTACAAAGCTCCCCTTGAATCGACGGTAATGAGCCTTCTTGCCCGAGCCCGTGCTCGCCCGTTCGAGTTTATTATTTTAATCGTCGGCAAAATAGCGGGGAAAAATTCCCGGTTCTACGGCGCCTCTCCGAGGCCGGGCCGAATTTTTCTACAAGATTTCAATGCACGACGTTGAGGTGTCCAAAGCTAAAAGCCTGTTAAATATGCTGCAAATGCAATTACTACTACTCCGAGGCCGGGTGTCCTTGTATATTCAACACCGACATCTTTCTACGCATTAAAACTTCAACAATTTTACAGTCGACCCAGTTCTCATTTACGATTCTGCCAATGCGCGCCATTAAGCGCCTCAGGCGTGCAACTTGTTAAACGTGTCAGAAACGCAAATCCTTGACCCGTAAATTCTTAAAATAATGTCATGGAAATGAATTCCGAAAAATTAACGCTTGCAGCTCGCGTCCGGCCGGAAGTTTCGGCACAGACGTTAAAACTTTGACGATTTCGCGTTCGATCCGGCTCTCGTTTATGCCTCCAATGTGCGCCCATCTTGCATGGAGAGCTCGCAACGAGTGCTATCTCCGATGCAGTCCATAAATGTGCATAGCGGGTGTCACGGGCAGCAAGCTCTAAAACGCCTCGTTCGGATATTGGCTGTTTCCCTCCGAAACTTCTCTGAAGTTCTTTTGGCCGATCTCGATGCTTTCCCGCGTCGAGTTTTCTGCGTCCGATATGCCGTCACGTGCAATGGCCGCCATTTACTTTCGAAAATCCGGATTTCAACGGCAGAGCGTCGCCCCTGGACGTCGGGGCACGGCCACGAGCTTTTTTCATTCTCTTATCCCCCGGCTCAAAGGATAACCTCCGACCTCTCCGCTATTTGCTCGCTGAAAATCCAATGCCGTAGGTTCTTACGCCGGCCCCTCCTATCGCCAGCGTTTAATCTCTACTTCTGCCGTGCGAGTACTCGTGGAAAATCCATACCAGATCATAACGATCCCCTGTATCCGGTTCTCGAACTTTACCTGCGATAAAAATAGATTCCTTCCTCCCGCTTAGTTAAGGTAACTACAAGGTACTAGTTGTTATAACATGCTTATCGTAACTTCACTTCTTTTAATCATTAATATTACCATGTCAAATGGTAATCACTACAACTTTTTAGCGCAGCGTCATGGATACGGCAATTATCGGCAAAGTTGCAGTTATCATTCGTTGTGATCAGTCTCGTCATTTGAGTGGTTCATGTTACAAGGAAAAATTTAGCTATGTTACTATAGTAATTGTAACCAAATTATGCTTTTCCATGTGGTATTTACCAAAGACGTGGACGATTGAATCGAACCCCTTCGTATGAGCCCCCCGTGTCGTCGTTTCGTATCATTAGCTCATTGAATCCTCGAAAGGCCAGATGAGCCTCGAGCTTTAAAGCGAATTAAGCTCTCCCAAAGTCGGTCTTAACTCCAAGTTAAGACCCGGCGTGGCGATACGGGGGAGGAAGTTCGTCTTGGATCTCCCAAACCCTGAAAAATATCCGGTTTCCTTAGGCGCCGCATTCGTTCTCAGGTGCAAATAAACAGTGACATTACCGCATCAGTAGAGCGACAAATTGAATCAAGCTTAAGGCGAGCAGGCTGAAGAATCGGGTCTACTTGACCCCCTTGTTGCTGGGCACAAAGGCTCCCCTTTCACCGTCCTCGAGTCTTTCGAAATATTTACGCCACAGAGTCGTTCGTCCCGAAAATTATACGGTGAAATTGGCCTTTCCTTCGGAATTTTCTCAGCCGAAACGACCGACCTCCCTCAGGAAATCCAACGCAGCAGCTCCCGAGATTTCCTCCGGTCTTTCTTTTATCACTAACCGCCTCTCCTTTCGGGAACTCCCGAGCCTCCTTGGAATTCAGCCGCATGGTTACAACCTGGCTGAATTTCCCTTAATTGAAGTCCCCAGTATAGCAGGATCGATTCGGCAAACGTCCGCGTAAAAATATACGCACCTGCCGGCGCTCCCGCGTCCGCAGCTGATTGAAATCCGTATTGCAAAACGGCATACTCGCCCGAGCGCGACTTTTTGATAAATCAAGCGCCCGTCTCGTAAACGAAGGTTTACGCCGAGTAAAGCATGAATATTCCTCGTAAACTAGTCCGTGTTTATTTCCAGCCTGGCCAGTCGAAACTGAGGGGATTTTTCGATGACTCGATCAATAAATGAACAAAGGTGTGTCTTCACCGCCTCGAAGGGATGCCTCTCCTGTGGGATTTCCTCGAAATCCCGGTCTGTAATTTCAGACGTAATTAGAAATTATGAATAGCAATACCCGCTCCTCCCCTCTCGGCCTACTGAGGTGACAATAAAGGAGCAGCGAACGGATCTAATAGAGGCTTAAATGCCTCTCTGTAAATCCCCTTTCGACTCTTTATTTGCAAAACAATTACCTGCCGGCAGATCCAACCGTCACTCGACCGAATGGATTATTCAGCAAAACGACCAGTATCACTGCAAAGTAGAGTTGAAAGTAGCGCGCGCAGCGTCCATCTTGATTTAACTCTTAATTTTGCACTCTCAAAGAAGGCGGCCTCGTTATAAGAAGTACTGCCTGTTAAATACGTTCGGCATATATATTTCTCTGGGGAAACTTTGAAATCCAAGTTAGGGGGTTTTGCTTAATAATTACGGAAGTATCCGCTTAAGCAAAAAAAGAACTGCTTAAGAAGTTTACCTCTAATTAACGGGAGAAGTTCAATTGGTCGTGCTAAATACACCTGGCGTGCACCGGTTCTTCGATAGCTTAAGGGCATTACGGCTAAACCTTATTCAAACTGTTCGATTCGTTGCAGTCATTGAAACGGCTGTTTTGCGACGGCTTAAAGTTACCCTTGGTCCGCCATTTTCTTTTTCCTTTCGAAAGAACGCTTATTAAAAGAAATATAGTCACCTATTTTGAACGAAGGTCCATGTAACGAGCTTTTCAATTCTGATCTGGAAAAGCAAAGGTAAATAAGATTCTCACTCGATACATATTTAAAGCAGGTATTTGTAATCGTCGATTGTTGGTTACTTTATTCCAGCTTCCGAAGACCTGTGCAAGATGGCACCACATCATTCTTCCCGATTCTTGTGCTAAACATATTAAACACGGTGTTGATTGAATTTCAAGGTTTGGTATCTCTGCTTTTTACTTCCAAGATCACTCGATTCTCTCTACTTTTTATGTTATATCTGCTATTGCACTGCGGAAAATGTACATACATACATACGTGTAAGCTGTAAACAGAGATGAGCTCTCTGCTGTAAAACTATTTTTGTGGACAGTGGCGTAACCAAGCGCCGCGGATTGAAACTATTTTGGGTACACGCATTTTAACCAAGCATTAGGCTTCTAGGAGACATTGAAATTCATCGATGATAGTTCAAATCGTTCAGATATGGCCGGAAATTTTTGGCAAAGTTCACATCAGTAAGTCACAACCACTGCAGTGTTTTTAGTATAGTAGATTGCGAGCAACGTTAACATCTGTTATACAATAAATAATTGATATTTATTTTCAAGTCAACAATGGCTACTGGATAAGCAAGACCTGATAAGGGAACGGCAACATGATCTTAATATCTTAAATGAAGAGGAGTACCAGAAGTTGTTCATCTTTTTCTCAAATTGTTAGTAACATTTGTAATATTATTAACTATCTTGCTTGATAAAGTATTGTTTAGAAATGATATCCTTTAACAGAGTTGTTTGAATAATAATTATTGTTATTTTACAAAATAATATTCAGTATTCCATTGTCTTTCCTTAAGTAATGAAAAAGTATTAGGAAGTATAATAACTACTTATGAAACAAATACATTAGATATTCTTTCATAACGATACAATTATTTTAAGTTTTGTAACTAATTGCGAATTTTAGATATATTTTTTATTACACTGCAGTATTAACCAAAGTTCTCTTACAGTGATACAAGTGCTAGGAGAACAGTTAAAATTAAGACAACAAGTGATAGCTACAGCAACGGTTTATTTTAAAAGATTTTATGCTCGCAATAGCTTAAAATGTATCGATCCACTGCTTTTAGCACCAACATCTGTATTCCTTGCTTCAAAAGTAGAAGAATTTGGAGTTATTTCCAATACTAGGTTAATTACTACTTGTCAAACTGTAGGTACGTATAATTTCATGTAAAAATGAATTTCTACAAAGTATACATGATTTAAGTTAATATGATATTATTCTGTTATAGCAATGAAAAATCTTTATTGAAAATTAAACGCTTGAAATATAGCAATTCACTTTAATAATGAATATTGTCTGTTACAGTGTTTAGGTTTGAATTTTATACAATGATATCTGGAATCATAAAAATATACATTTTTTGTTACAGTTAAAAACAAATTCAATTATGCGTATTCTCAAGAATTCCCTTACCGTACAAATCACATTTTAGAATGTGAATTTTATTTGTTGGAACATTTGGATTGTTGCCTAATTGTTTATCAACCATATCGACCATTACTAACACTTATTCAAGATATTGGACCTGATGATCAGTTACTTACTTTAGCATGGCGTATTATTAATGATAGTTTACGAACTGATGTATGCTTACTTTACCCTCCCTATCAAATAGCTATTGGTAAGATTTTACATTGTGATTCATATAATACATTTTGTTATATGTCGTGTATGGCTAATAATTTTTTTAATCAATTTAAATTTCAACAGGATGTTTGCAAATAGCATGTGTCATACTGCAAAAGGACTTGAAATCATGGTTTGCCGAACTAAATGCAGACATGGAAAAAATCCAAGAAATTGCGCGTTACATAATAAATTTATATGAATTGTGGAAAGCCTATGATGAGAAAAAGGAGATTCAAGGACTATTGGCTAAAATGCCAAAACCGAAAGCAGCTCCACAGCGCTGACATCAGCCCTCCAGTACAGTACCCAATCTTTGGGAATGACTCAATGAATTCTAATTATTTATATATCAATTCTTACTATAACATATTCAACGTAAGACTGCAACAAACTATAAGACTTCGGTAGAAGTTTAGAATCCTACATGTGAATTGTGAAAACTGTTAGTTAATGTTCAATCATGAATTTGTAGTTTAACTAAAGTTTCACATCAAAGCTAAACTTTTGCTTGTTCCTTTACGAAAAAACAAACTAGGAATTTGCAAGAACGGAATATTTAAAACATAAACGTAAAATTTTAGAAAATTTAGATAAATAAATGATTAAAACAAAAACCAAAGAATTTATTATTTCCATGCAAAAAATCGAAGTGAAATAGTCACGTTATCAAATATTGCTTTATTGTAAAATACAGTCTTGGATATTTATCTGTTAATAGTAAAAAAAATCGAATTACAATACGAATAATAACTGATACAGAGACAGTTATGGGAGGATTTTGAATATTCTTACATATATTTACGACAATTCTTAGTGAATGATGTATTAGGAACTCGATCCTTTTGAATATCTTTTCCAGAACTTCCTCACATCATCATGTCCTGCCTTTGTTACGACCATGGTTCGCTTCCTTCTCAAGAGTAAAAAGAAAAGGTATTAGTATCTTCAACATATTTTTTTTATATTTTTCTATATCATGTACCTTTCACTTTGCCAAATGAGGACCCCTGTTGAAAGAGCGTGATCTCGGAGTACCTCAAAATCTGCTTGAGAAAGAAATTGACTGTACAACACCCCTTCACTGAATATAAATCTGTTTCTTTCATTTTCCCACAGTTTAATTTGGTCTACAATTGTTGGTGGCAATAACTGAGATCCTGCCTCGATCACCTTACTATGGGCATGCTGCTGTAAATAACTGTTATATAACATAATGCGAATTAACACTGATGAGTAATTGATATTTGTAGAATGTTCAATATATGTTTATATTATACAGGATAAATCAAATGTACTGAACCTACCCAATTATTTGCGAAGCAGTTATACCGCTCTTTAATGCTTGGCGTACAGAGTCTCTAGTTAGTATCGATACCACTAAATTTGGAAATCTATGGAAAGAAGTAGATATTTACCTGGTTAGCATGACACAAATTGAAGAAAGTTGTTTATGTTAATGTAGATAAAGAAAATATTACCTGTACAACATTTCGCAAAAAAGTCCAAGTAGTGCTACTTGTAAATTTGAGTTTGTGTACGCATAGACTCTATAATTTGTTTCAACTACAATGTACCCATCCTTATTTAAGTCTTTTGTTAATGGTTTATTTTGTCCCGTTGCTATGTTAAGTGCTAGACGGGTGGGATAAAATCTGAAATGGATAAAAACTATCGTAGTTATAATTGTAAAAAATGATATTATTTAAATATTCTTTATCTATTTATTTACCTTCCTGCTTTTCGTTTGCGTTGGTAAACTAGGCCAAATTCTCTCAAATGTTGTAAAAATGTTAGAAGGCCTTCTGACATACCTTCCGTACTATAATCTTTACCAAGAGTCGAGAAGTTTAATTGAAAGAGAAAAGTAAGACACTCTACCAAATCGAGGCCTCTAGCTTCTATTGTATCTAAGTATTGAAGAATAAAATACCATACCTAAAATTCATTGTTACTTGTTAAATGAAGTATTATATAAAAGAAAGAGTCAGTTCAAAAATTAAATTAAACTAAAAAATACAGTTAAAGCGTAATATCAAACTTTTACGTACTTGTGAAGCCGTATCTAGTAACAAAAACTGAAAACCGGCTTGGGTGATCACTGGACTACCGTCTTCCTCGTCACGTTTCATGAGGCCAGCATGTAATAAAATTCTAACAGCATCGGCTGATATGCCTGCACAGAATAATACAAATATAATGTAATTTAAAATTGTACTCTACGAATACAACGTATCTCGTTATATTTCTTACCTTCTTGTTGTTGGGAACCAACCATATAATGAAGGACACATTCCCACCTTTCTAGTGCATAAGAATCCAGAAAAGCAACATCCCTGGGTTTGCTATCAGTTTCTAATTGATTCGACATGGTCCATGGCTTTCCGCCACCCAGTAAAACTATTTTCAGATTTTTCTTAAAGGTCGGTTTTAGAATCCATCCAGGAAGACCTCCTGGTATAGAAGTTTCCTTCCACACATTCAGTTCATTTAGGATTTGAACGACTTTCTGATGTTCTTCGGAGTGAAGTTTCGAGCACCAGGAAGCAATTACTGCTTGCGGCACTGGTTGTTCGACAAACAATAACCTCATCACGTAATGCCTCGCTATTTCCGGCAATTCTCGAAAAACAGCCAGACATATCGGCGGACTGTGATAGAATTTATTTAATACTTCCGGAGGCCGTAATTTTAAGTACTCGTGAAGATCCTTGCACTGTAGCCCAGAAGGACGAAGTAAATTCTTACCGCTTATTGTACTTGCATTTGCATTTGTATTTGACATTTCCTATCTAATGAAACCTTAATCTCACTGTATCTGAATAAATTTATAGCATTTGTGAATAATATAAAATCTTTTAACGCGAAGAGTTATAACATTGCGCCGAGTTTTCAAAGCTCAGCGAAGCCGGTCAAGAAATCCTCGACAAAGAATTCAAACGTTTCTATAGAAACTCAAAAGAATATTTAAATTTGATGCTACATAATTAGTTTGTTATTTAACCGATGGTCGCGCTGTAATCGAACTCCGTCCATGACCAGAGATGTGTTGGGAGATTGCTCACGGGCAGGATCGTGTGATCGCATCCTGTGCTGCCCTCTGCGGCACTCTCCGGCACTCTGCGGCAACTCTACGGCACTCTCCGACACTCTCAGGCACTCTGCGGCAACTCTCCGGCACTCTCCGGCACTCTCCGGCACTCTCAGACAACTCTCCGACACTTTACGGCAATTTTCCGGCACTCTCCGGCAACTCTACGGCGCTCTCCGGCACTGTCCAACAACTCCCCGGCACTCTGCGGCACTCTCCGGCACTCTCCGGCACTCTGCGGCACTCTGCGGCACTCTGCGGCACTCTTCGGCACTCTCCGGCACTCTCCGGCACTCTACTGCACTTAACAACACGCAACGGCACTGTTCGGCCTTCGATAAGGCTCGAAAACACTTGAAAAACGCGCGAAAAAAATCGATAACCCTCGACAACGCTCGAAAATGCTCTGAAAGTGACGCGTGCCCCAAAGCTCCGCATCACGTCAACTTCGAGGCAACAATTTACTTAATAGTAGTAGATAACTAGATAAAGTCAAATGGAGCGTCACGAGTGTTCGTCCCTTACCATCAAAAGCGAGCAGTATCGGTAAGCGTAGGTAAGCCACCACCGTCAACTGCCGCATGGTATTACCATCACGAGTACATGAGCCACCAACGGTGACTGGTAGATGGTACCGCCATCGCGAGTGCGCGAGCCCCTACCAGAATTTCGTTGCACCGCCCTTAGGGGCAAAAAACGGTGAAAGCTAACGTACGAAAGCAGAGGGCAGCACAGGATGCGATCCACGATCCTGCCCGTGAGCAATCTCTCAATTCATCTCTGCCATGACGAGTCCCATGCAGTTTGTCCTTGTCTTTAGTCTCCATGGGCGGTAATTTTGAACTTAGAATCGGATTACTTCTTAATTGAATTTAATACGTTATTAAATAGTCTCTAAACTATTTATTATATATAAATTTTTATTTTGAATGGGTTAGCCACATTCAGATGTCAGCTAGCAGACACGGTGATGCGATGATTGCAGAAATATTTACACTAAAAATCCCTTGCTTTAAAGGGGACCTCACTGAGCAACAAGAGATAATGTATCGATGAGAAAAGATGAAACCAAATAATGTCATAAATAAATGTTATCAAAATCTCTTGAAGAACATAACTTTTACCAAATACCGTAGTTATAAAATTGAGAGGGAATTTATGTACATGTACAGACATTGAAGTTCTGAGTAGACGTTAGACTGTATACCGTCAGACACGCTACAAAAATAGATATAGATATAATAACTGTACATAGAATGACGTTTCCCAATAAATTCCTATTCTAGACCAATGTAAGAAATTCTGCTTACAAATATTCTGCTGAGTTGCTTATTTTAGTAACTGGTACATCTCACCGCTCGCTCATTTTACCAACGCTACGAATGCATTTTCTATTCTTATCGGTAGACTAAGTTAACGACAAGGTTTACTGAACATACATATAAATGCATGGATGAAACGTATCAATAAGGACGATGTTTATCAGAGAATAGATCCACACCGTAGAAATCGGTTAACGTTTGCTTTTGCAATTTCGTTCATGAATTTCCACTCGATCGGGATTGAACGTCCTTCCGCAACGCTTGCAAGGAACAAGCTGATCCAAATGAGAACGCCAGCTAGCTTCAGCCATTGCATCCAAATCTATTGCAGCGGTTCCTTCAATTGAGTTCCCTGGAATGAATAATTCCTTTATCAGTGACAAGACTTTCGTTAATTGTCTCCTCAGTACCCAATTACACCGTCGCTGTCCTCGGTTAACTACATTTTACAAAACTTCATAGGAACGTTTGGAAATCGAATTTATTCTTAAATTTATGTTCTACCGACAGAAATTTCCGTATGAAAGGACAATTACATAGAGCAACTTGAAGGACATTGTTAAACAGCTGAACCGATGAGACCACAATTTATCCTCGACTAGGCGCATTCAATCGATGGCATGTGTCGTGTTGACCTTCCGATTAGCAATGGCGATAAACGAAATGGAAATGGAAATAATGACTCGATAGGCCACAAGTTCCGAGTTTCACGCAACCGATTCCTAGGATCCACACACGTCGCCTTTTGATCTTCTCTTTTCTCCGGCTAGCAGAATTGACGAACTGCAACACTTGCAGGCACGACAATGCGAGCTCGTGGTCAAGTAGTCACGTCATGCGTTTCCCTCCAGAGCGCTTTCCACCAAATCGATTCTAAAGGGCATTCACCCTTAAACACGTTGCACAGATGGCAGATAAGAGCACGACACATGAATATTTCATTGATTTCAGGGCAACAGGAATTAACTTGAAAGACAGAGAATAGCACTCATGATACGAGGTAATTGCAAATATGTAATAAATTCAAGACTCTGGGAACTGGTGCTGACATTTCCAACGAAGGTAATTCGAGATAAAAATAAAAGAATTAGGAGTTTAGAAAAGTATCAGAAGTTATTTGAAACTTTTATTATGGTACTATTTCCTGCAGATGAAAATAATCCTTCAGAAGAAATATAAGAGCGAATTCATCTCTTTTGCAAATGGAAACTTGACATGAAATAACGTAATCACTCGTTTACGAATTTAATTATAACCGTATTGTTAGTATATCTTGAATTGTTGATACTCACAGATATAAATCAAATCTGGCTTTCTGGGCTCGTTCCGCCTTTGATTCGGCGGCAGTTTCTCGTTCTCCAAATGCCATTTTTTCAAACATTGTGGTTCATGTATAGTAATACTTATGGATCCGAAGTCTCTACCGCATATGTAACACGTTAAGGTTTTTCGTTGCATGATTCCCTAAAAAGAAAAAAGGAAACACTATTACTCGAGTAAAAACATTATTTATTATCCTATATGAATTGCATAGATTTTCCAAATCCTTCTACAATTTATAAAAATTCTATCCAGGACGTCCCATAAATCGCAGGATTAGAAACGTACAAATAATGCTACATATTATATTTATACGTGTCATGAAGTTATACAACAAAAAAAAATTATATTGTTTCTTCAACAACGACTCACCTTCTCTGAACTCTTTTGCGATCTTCCGTTGGACCCCGCGAAGCTTTTCTCACTTTCAAAAATTCCCTTTTCTTGTCGACTTGCAAAAGTGGTGTCACGTGTAGCGTTTGATCGCTTTATACATTGAGGCTCGTGGATTTTAATGCTTCTCGTGCCAAAATTCCTGCCACATATTTGACATGGAATTGTGTTAGGCCCAACATTGACCGGCCAGGAAGATTTCCCCACAGTTTCGGACCTCTCAGTCTTTTCCCCTTCTGAATTCTTAAACATTGCATGCGTGCTCGTTAATCGATAATAATAAAGGAATTAGGCGGTCTTGTATACATGTACCGTACTTTAGGGGTCGCTTTACAGCTCCTTTCGTGTACGGGATGACGATCTGGCAAAAACGTCCTTCCGCATTTTGAACATGGTACCAGCTGCGCCTAAATATAAAAATATATTTCATTTTAAGTTCCTTGTAAATTTTGCAATTCGAGTAAATTAGAAAACCAACCCTGTCAAAGGATAGACTAGATCTATGTACAAGAGAGATTAATAACATACACGTTTAAACCTTTTTCTACATATCTCTATCAGTCTTATCTATCAGTTCAGAAGAGTGATAATTACTCAAATTGATATTAAGCTTTGGGAATACGAAATTAATTTTAACACTAACGATGCATTGTAACGTGCAGCTTGTGTGCCACGTTGTTGCAATGCGATTTATCAAGCTGGTGTAAGAATTCACTAAGGAATAAGCTTCCACGTTGAACTCTTATACAGGTCGGAATCTGGAGCACAGAATAACACCCAACTCGCGCGTAAAAATACTTTAACTTATCACGAAGTCTTTGATGCATTTTCATTCTACATTAGAAACCTGACGTCAAAAGTGTCCTCAATATACTTCGAGCAATAACCAAGACCTGGAAGCTTGTTTAGAATTTTTCTCAAAGCTCGCGAAGGCTTTGAGACTCGAATCTCGGTCGACCTACTAACAATTATCAAAGATATATTTAATGTCGACCGTGGCATAAATTTAGCTCGAGTTCCTCTGTAAATCTGTTCCTAGGTCTATCTCATATTAAAAAAAAATAATAATTTCCAGGTTGATCAAAGACTGGTTTCCGGGAAAAATTAAAAAAATCTCAAATGAACTAGTCTCGAAGGCTGGTGTTATTATTATGAACGAAATGGTGGTACAAGATGCGATTCGTTCTTGAAATTAACAATGTCACAAATCAAGGTATTTTAAAGGGCAATTCGGGTTCTCAACCTCGCCTTCGACCTCTTTGCTATCGTCGAAGGTAGACGTAGTTTCCGTCACGAAACGCAATTGCGTTTATGCGCGATTCCCTTCCGCGATCGATCGAACGCAAAGCCATGACACACCTGCATTCCCCAATGTCACGCACTTGAACTTGCAAAGCAGCTTTTTACGCTTTCAATACGATCGTTATAAAACAGTACATAGATAGTGTTATCTTATTAAAATAAGAGGTCACTCTTAGAGTGGCATTGTAACTCCCGCCTGGAATTAAAGTCGCATCTCTTTAGCTGAACCATTTTTAATAATTCCCCACGGATTGTCAAAGTCACTACGCTTATTGCACCAATCGAAACATTTTTTTAAAATGCGAAATTAGATATTATCGATATGTCCGGTGAAATTGAAGGTCCCCAAGCAGCTTTAGAGATCGAATAAATGAACTCTACGTGAATGGAGTTGAAAAGGTATTTTTCAACGTAAATATACCTTTGGTTGGGGCAGTATAAAGACTTCGATTTACAAGATTATTGTATTAATTATTGCACCTGACTTTGCTCCCATGCAACAGAATTCCAATCCTGGTGGTCCAGAGGGATGCTCGGTTTTCGCGGTAAAGAGCGCCTTTGCGAAGGGTCCAGAGAATTATTTTCCCGCTCCCATTTCTGCAAAGACGTTCACCATTAGTCTCGCACCAGGGAACAAAAAACAACGGATGCATCGGTTCCTTTTTTGTCATTCGCTTTAGAGTACCCATGATGTAATACGTTGCGTGGACGAAAGAGTTACTCTCAAGGATGAAGTCGACGCATGGAACCGACTCATGTTCCGCGATGAACATAATCACGTAATCAATCTCCATATGGAGTAGATGTATGACTAATCTTTCGATTAAGCGAGCGTCAAAATAAACGAATTCGTGCACGCTCAATCGGAATCATTATACAGTCCCGAGACTTAAAAACATTCAATAAAAGGCGTTTTGTAATTAAGTTATTATAAAAAAAAAATTAGATTCCAAGGAAGTGTCTACACAAGACGTAATGAATTTGACGTAAGATATATTATAAAGTATAAGAAAATGATAGAGCGTCTAAGTGCATGGGCCTCAGAAAAAAAAAACTGAGCGCTACGTCTCTTTACTTTAAGCATTTAATAATATATACGATTACTATAATTGATATGTGATATAACATATGACGATTGTGGAATTTACTTCGTTCAGGCCGATCTCGTGAAGTCTGGACTCACCTGCAGACATTTAGGCTCATGAATAGGAAAACTAGTCGAGCCGAATTGCCGACCGCAGATATAACAAACGACAGTCCTGGGTTTTCTTTTCCCAGGGGAGACTCTTCGAGTCCACGTCCGGTTATCGGTGCGTGATTCTCCAAGAGGACTTCCGGTCTCGGGAGACCTTGGCTTCCGGTCCCCAGAGGCTGATTCTTCCTCGGGTTTCCCTTTCACCTTTTCGCTGCGAAAATTGAGGGCTACGGGTTTCTGAACGGTCTTCGGCACGGCGAATTTCGGGGTCGTCTTGTACGTCTCTTTCTCTTGAACTCTCCTGGGTAACGCGGTTTTAGGGTGACTGTGAAAACGCTCGGGTTGGTCGGGTCTTCCACAGGTTTTGCAGGGTTCCGGAGCGCTTTCGACGGTGCTGGTGAAGAGCTCCACGTCGCTCGAGATGGCTGCCTTCGAGTTCTTCCTCTTGAGGGAGGTCAGGGATGAGATCTCTCCCGCAGGAGTCAGACTGGTCTTGTTCCCGTTGTTATTGTCGTCGAGTCTTCGGGACTCTGGATCGTTTGTCCTCTGTGGATCAAGGAAGCCATTGCGAGGATTTACCTAACCGACTCTTGACAAACAGTCCTGAGAGTTCCCTAGACTTACCTTGGTCGATCCATTTCTGGGATTCGTTGGGGTGCGTCTGATGGATCCACTCGGGGGACTCGTCGGGATCATCTTCGATCTGTCTTTTGAATTTTCCGAGGTCGTTCTCGGGGACTCGTTCTTACCGATTGATCCATGCGTCATAGAACGGTCCTTCGCGTTGATAGAATTAGCTTTCATCCTAGGGTTTGCTTTGGCGCGCCTCTTCGCGATGGGTCGACTCAACGAGATGTCCACGATGGTCGACTCCAAATCCGTAGGAGGCTCGAAACTCTGTCGTTTCTGCCGAGCTAGTGACTGCACTCCGAGACTGGTTCTGGTGTTGCCATCTTGGTTCACCAAACTCGTTCTCTTTGACTCATCCGGAAGATTCGTCAGAACAGTACTTATGGAGCAATCTGGAGAACATAGAGAGCCATCCTGGGAGCTCACGGGATGTATTTTCTTCAGGTCGCCGTGAGAATTCCCCGGAATTACCTTCGCGGACCGATCTGGAGAACTACCGGTGCTGGTCCTGGTCGACTCGTCCTGGGAATTGACGACACTTATCCTACTCGACCCATCTCTGACGTTCGCCAGGCTCAGCCTTGAACCTCGTCGCTTCTCAAGCGGTCGATCGGACGGAATCTCCGGATCACACACCTCCCATTCTATTCTAGGCTCGAAACTTTGACATTTCCTGCGCGCCAACGACAACCCACCCTGGTTCACCCTTGAAGAGTTCGCTAGATTCTTCCTCGTGGAGCCATCCGAGGAACTTCCCGAGCTCGTTTTCGCAGACCTATCTTCGGGGCTCACCGCGCTGATTCTCGTTGACACGTTCCCCTGATTCCTCGAGTTCGTTTTCACCTGCTGACTGTTTAGCGCGTTCGCCAGCCTGCTTCTCGAATGTCTCCTCCCAGTCGGTGATCCTGATGCAAGTTCCCCGTTACACAGTTCCGAGTCCGTCAAAGGCTCGAAACTTTGACGTTTCTGTCGCACGAGCAACAATACCCCCGTGCTCGCGTTCTTCGTTGCAGCTGCAACTGCAGTCGATATCGAACGTCGCTGATGGTCTCCTATAGGGACGCTCCTACGACGCTTTGTCAAGGCCATTATGTTCGACCTGTCGACGCCTTTGTGACGGATTCGAGTCATCAGCAGTTCCTTGCTCAGGAGGGACATGTCGAGCTTGTTCACCAGCTTCGGGTCCAGCACGCTGGGCTTCTCCAGATTCGCAGTCTTTGGTCTTTCGTTCTCGCCCAAGATCGGCTTCTTCACTTTCGGGGGCCAGGTTCCCGTGTTCGTTGCCGATCTTGACTTTCCCCTGGCATTCGGATCCGATTTTCCTGGACAGAAGAACTTATTGCGAATTTACCACAGCGATGAATCGCTCACAAGAGCTGGACGATTTCCTCTTAATCCTTTAGCGATAAATTAAATTTATATTTAGTGCGGATAAAGGATAAGGAAATCTTCCTTAGTTTTGCGACAAACCACTTGATTTGAATAAATAGTAAGCTATGCGCGAACAATTACTTATGCCACTCAATGCCTACACTAAGAGAAGAATTTCTTTGATTTTATGCTACAGTTCATTAACTTCCATTCAAAGAAATAATTTCCTTGAAAGAAAAATCGTTTTTTTTTCTCAGCGCGTGTACGCGATGTATCAATATCTATAGTGTGCACAATGTGATAAATTCGAGTAAGACGCATTATTTTTTACACATTGTCCGGAATGTATACATATTTAATTTTCAATTAAACGGTCACAGGTTAATAAAATTAAAACGAGGTAAAAAGTCACCCTCGTGCGTGAACAACGGCTGAAAAAAAAGACAAAAAAAAGATTTTTGCTGGGATCACGCGACTCACCATCTAAGTTCTCCTCGTTTCCCTCCAAACTCTTCAAGTTATCTTTGATTATCAGAAACGTCTTTTCGGAAAGAAATTCCGAAGAGCTCTTTTTCCACTTCATGACGTCTCGTTACCTTATCATGAATTTACGTGTCCCCAAAGTCGATCGTGCGAGCACATGATAATACTCCCTAAATGATAGATACGTTATTTACACGACATCCTTGATGTTGCGGTTCAAAGAAACGTCATGTGAAATGTCCACCCGATTCGGTCGAATTTCGACGTTTCCGCGCGTTATAATTTTCGGTTTATCAAAATTGCTATTGAGCGAGGACATGTTTGCAGTTATCGTTTCTGAACAACTGTTAGGGAAGGCCTTTTTTCGAAAACATCGCGTCCGAATTGTGAAAAATTTTTCCAAGTTTCGACCGGGTCTCGTGTTCACGCAAGGCTTGCTAAGCCTCGCTCCGTTTATTTTCAAGAGTCCGTTTGATTTATCTATTTTTATTCATTTTATTTAATTCTGTTCCCACTATATGCACATACAAAGACTCTCAATTAATCTTTTATATAAAGTATATCACTTCATACAAAAATTCAATGTATACGATGATTTAGCCAAACATCGTTAAGGGAACATTTATTTACTTCCCAACTTCAACGGAGACCGGGTAGAGAAGAATTTTCGTTTTATAAAATATATATATGTATAAACGAAAATAAAAACAGTATCCTGCCACACCCACGTCTTTCATGCATTCTCACACAATGCTTACTAAACTTTGTAATTACACTTTTTCTCATCAACTTGGATCCGTTTTCTCCTTTTTTTTTTTTTTTTTTTAATAATTTCGTCGTCAGATTCAACACTTATGCATAGGACTCTTTTTACTTGCGAATCTAACAAATTATTATTTGTATTAACTATACGTTTATGAAATTAATTATACGAGTCATATTAAGAAAAACAAATAGAAAACATCCAAACCACATTGATAACATCGTGGGTTTTCATTGACAAACTGGTCCGGGACCTTTTACAAAATTTCTTCAACTTTTTCCGATCCTTTCAGTGTACAAATAAATGAGATAATACATGTATACTAGATTGCAAAACCACACAGTGATTAGAAGTTCGTAAGGGCGACTGTATGTTTTTTATTTTATGTAATTAACTTCGTTTAGAAATTGAAGAAGTCAAGTAGAACCGCTTCTCTGTCTGGCGTCGAGTAGCAAGGAGTACTGAGCATCGTTTTACCTTGCCATTGGGTTCGTATAGTTTCAGGCCTGTAGAGTTTCGCTTTCTCTCTATGGCTGAGTGAGAATACAGGTGGTGGAGAAAATCGATCCAACGACCACTGTTAACTATAATTTTCGTAATACACCCTGGTGGTGTCATACATGCACAGTAGGTGCATCACGAATTACGATAGCATAAACCCGCTAAAATGTCTAATTTTGCTTGTACCACTACATTACTAAAACAAAAATATTGAATCGATGTCAAAAAATTCGATATTTTAGAAAAAGTATATATATAGATTTTACAAACTAGAAATTATTGTATCTCTTATGTGCAATTAGTATTTGATACGTCGCATTCCTGTAATATTTATGGACATGCATGGCAATTAACCAAGGCCATACAAAATGGAAAATTGTCATGTGCGTGATAGTAGACCGTTTGATTCCCGCTACCTCTTAACAGTTATCTATTAACTATCGATTATATACGCTTTTATTCGCCCTGGAGTTGTTCTGCGTGCTCGTGTCATTGCGCGACAAAGAATACGCAACAATGAGATAAAACGATTACGCAGCGTAAAATCTATCGTATTGAGTAATGAAGATAATTTCCTCACAATAACTTTCGCTTTTTATTATCTGAAGTGCGACGCAATGTACTATATGTAACATGTGGGCCCATGATAGGAAAGTACGTTTCAAAAGCAAGGAATTTGACGTATCTTATTTTATTACAATTTATCGTTATAGCGTCACTTTAGACAATTTTCTTTTATAATTTTAAGTTAACATTTTTCTTTATATACTTATATATATGTACAAAATATAAATACCTTAACGACGGTATCGGTATCGTTTAAAATGAAACCACAATTGAAATATATTGTTGTGAAACTGACACCTGAAACCACGCTTGTATGAGTATTCCCATTCTCTGTTAACAATTTTGAATGCAATGTCTTCGTATGGTGGTCCTGCATGAAATCGAAGGATGGCAAAATCTTTATTATCAGCACATGGTGTCTGAAATAAAAAAATGTTTTCACGTTGGTATGTAAAAGAATATTTAGTTAAGTATCTTTTATTCTTGTGCTGTTAAAATCTTAAGTTCTTACCAAAAAATATTCTGGCGTTGTATTTTTGTCAATGAGATCCGGATAGAAGATATTGAATTTATATCCCTGCACAATTTTGGGAGGCGGATTGTCCATATCGTAATGAGTTTGATTGTATTTATTCCATTCAAAACCTGTATGAACCCTGTTGAAATATCTAGGTTTTCGAGGTCTATATTTGTCAGACCACAGGTAAATTTGTGCTTCCAAAGACGATTCGACACTGAATTGTGCTTCATCCGAACCCATATTCTTACGCGCCTCTCTGTGCATTGCTTGTTCTTCTGAAGTCATTACGCTCTGTACTTTGCGTCCAGTACTGAGAACTTGATTTCTTGCGTATTCCAGCCGCTGCGTATCATCTTCCTCTAAAGTTACAATTGTACCTGGCTCCAAATCAGATGATAGTAAATACTTTGGTGAATAACCACCCGTTTCATATTCACAGAAAGACTCGGACAACAATTCTTCGGCTGTATTTTTGTTCTCTCTCTCTTCACTAAAAGCAAAGTAAATATTATTGAATCATAGAATGTTAAAAGCAAAATATTTTTATGTAAATTTATATCTTATCAAATGCTTATTCTTACTCAGATTGACTTTCTTCACTTTTTTCATGAGCCGTAGTTATGGATTCCTCCTGCTTTGCAGAATGTTCACTAGCAGCCTGAGAATCTTCTGCTTCACTTTCGGTTCTAGCGACACCTTGTTCTGCTATTAGTACTTCTAATTTTTTGCGCAAATTTTCTTGATGTCGATCTCTAAGCCGAGCCCTTGCCATATGAGCTGAAATCCAAAATATATGTTTAAAATTTGCAATTCTTATTTACAAACTTGAACAATTAATATAATTTATACTGAAATAAGTACCTTTCAATTGAGATAAAAGGCTTTCCCAGTATCCGATATCTACACCTTCCGGTTTGCCAGAAATTTTGGATTCAATTTCTATTTGTAAAAGTTCTAATTGTGATGCAGTCTTGCCTTTAAAAACAGTAGTCACATCTTTAGCTACAGATTCATGAATCCCTTCTCTTCGTCCAACCGCTAAAAATAAATACGTATTAAATAATTGATACATTATTTTTGGATACATATCATACAGTAATATCAAACACAACTTACCAACTTCGTACTCCGATCTTTCCAACTTTCTCAGTTTATGTAATTCATCTTCAACAATGACTGTAATGTCATTCCAATAATCTAAATTTTTACCACGTTCCAGTTCTTTGTAAACTTTTATATCTTCTATAAGATCTTCTAAATCCTTCACTTGTAGTCCCCTTAAATAAGTATAAGGTTCATGCATTTCTACTGCATCTACTTCTTCTTCTGCGCTAATGTATTTTGCCAAAAGATCAATGGGTTTTGCTCGACCATCTTGAATTCTAATTCGTGATCTTAATCTCGCCTGTTCGAGGTGGAACTGATCTTCCTGTCGGGCCCATTGCTCCAACTGTGCGGCTTCTTTTCCTCTTTGTAAAAGGGTCATTTCTTCTTCCCTTTGTTGCCTTTCCAACTCACGTTCTTGTCGTCTTTTCTTAACTTTTTCTAATTCTCTCCTATTTTCTTCTTGTTTATATCTATTTCTAGTTTCAAGTGCTTCTCTACTAACTCCGAGTAAACCTTCCTTCTCAAGTTTCTTTGACCAAACAAATGTGGACAATAAATTCCCATCACCAAATGGATTATCTGTATTGGTATAATGTAAGTAATCATTATCCCATCCCATTCTTTCTTTACGTTTACGTTCCTTGGCCTCTTTTTTCTTTAAACGCCGTAGTCTTTTCTCTTCTGGTGTTTCAGTTATTTTCAATATTTCTTTTTGCCGCTTACGTTCCTCAATTTGTTTCTTTCGTTGTTTCTGCAGTTTCTCCAATAATTTTGTAGAATTAGACGAAGAATTCGATGACGAAGATTCTTCTGAGGAATCAGAGGATGATGACGAAGACGAAGATGAAGACGATGACGACGATCTGTATTTAACATGATTAAATATTAGTTTGAATGTATCTAATGAAATTAACAATGAAATGATAAAAAGCAAATATATATTTACCTCTTTCTACTCTTATGCTTGGAAGACTTTTTACGAGAGGAAGACTCTGAGGTATCTCGTTGTTTTTTCTTCTTTTTTTGAACACCCTTTTTCAATGATTTAGGTCTATTTTTTGACGATTTAGAATGACGTTCTTTACTGTCACTTCTACTGTTGTGTTTCAATTTTTCATCTCGTTTGCGATGATGCTTGTAATTCGCACTCGACTCCTTACCATCGTACTTGGCTACAACTTTTTCCATCTTGCAGAAAAATGTTACATTTAGAAATATCCAGCACAACGTATTTACGACGCTATGCGAGACATAACCTTAAATTACACAGCTCCAAACGCCATCTTGATTTCTACTGCTTTCTATTTCAGACAGCTGATATATCTACTACCATCGACTTGATGTAATTTATAAGTCACTATTTTAAAATACGGAGGACATTTTTCTTAAATAAAATGTTGATAATTTAATTGCACTAGCGACTAAAAATATTAGAAGTTATATTTTAGATGATTTTGGTTGATTCAATTAAGAAGTGTACTGGGCCACCTGAAATGTGCAACATTATAGTCGCTCAACGATTCTCGTATTGATCCCCCTACTCCTTCCCAGAACGACATCCGTTAGATTTTAAATTCGGTAGCGTACATACGTCTCGCACAAGGTTTTTCGAAAATTTTTGAAGGGCTCAAAGTGCTTTACCAACGTGTATCGGTGTCTTTTCTTGTGGATCTGTGATAAATAAAAGACACAGCATTATGCCACATGAGATTTATTACTCTGAAAAGTATTACGACGATAAATACGAGTACAGGTTTGTTTCAATCTGGTGGTGAGGTCGACCCTTTTGTTTGGATGCTGTGATGGTTGTAGGCTATGATACGTAATTTCGTTGGCATGGTTTTAACCGTAGTTTAACGCTAACATACTCATAAATATATCGAATTGTTTTAACTTTTTTTTATTGCGTAAAGGCGCGAGAAAGAAATTGCGTGTATTATAGTTTATGGTCCCATCCTTTTATAATTAGTTTTATTGTATTAAAAGAAGTATTACATTCAATAACATCTGCTTTTTTTAAATGTTGAATAAGGAATTACTCTACCGAGTTTCCTATTTCAACATCTTTCAAAGAATTTATACCGAAAGATGGTGTGATATAATTTTTTCAATTATATGGTCTTTTTCTCCAGGCATGTAGTTTTGCCAAAGGAAATGGCAAAATTGGTACCAAAAACCCATTTAATGTCGGAAGATGAATGGAGAGAAATTGGTGTTCAACAGAGTAAAGGATGGGTACACTACATGACTCATCAGCCAGGTATAAAATCATTAATTTTTTTAAAGTTATATTTTATTTCTTATTTGTTGTATTCCGAATTTAAGTGTTTCTGAATACCTTGTATTTAATCGTGTTTACGCTATGAAATATATCGATGTATTTGTACATATGATTAACACAAAATGTTCTTCTTTTCAGAACCACATATTTTATTATTTAAAAGGAAAATTACTACTCCACCACCTGAAAACTAATCTTCATGTAGCGCATGTTAGGAATGAAGCTCACCCTAAGATCATTGTTAATTTTAATTTTTAATAGAGGAGTTTGGTCATACAAGGTGATACTACTATCAATGCATTGATAATATATTGTGCAGATGTTTAGCGTTTGTTGAATAATTATGAAACGGAATCCTATGAAATACTCAGTTATTTTAATACGAGAGAAAGTTTTTGAAACTAACTAGGCTCCTCCAGTACCATTCCTGACTTGTCATTTGAAAATCACCAACAACATAGTGTGTATATATGTCTATAGAATAATTTAATACTTACTAGTATTTTCAAGATAGAGAGATAAAATCAAAGTGAATCTGTACCAATCATCATAAGGATCCTGATTTTCAGTTTACATTATGTCGCAGCATTGATCGTAATTAAATAGCTGTTACTGGAAAAATACGTTCTGCGATTGGTACATTCAATTTTGATCTGTTTCAATCAGTATTGATTAATTTGGTGTCTATAGTGAAAATACTAGTACAATGCGAAATTGTGGAAACACATACGTTATAAATTTAATTTTGAATGTTACTGTTAAATCTAATAGTCAATGTGTCTCCTGTCACGATGTGCCTACTGTCAAATTAATGTTAAGAAAGAAGTTTGTAATAAGAGTATAAAGTCATCTGTAAACAATTTATTTTTACTCTTTAAGTACTCTGCACTTTCATAGTGAGTTAATGTTTAAACGTACATTTGTCACGGCTTTAAATTTCTAATGATTGCCTCGTACACCATGTATTTACAGAGTTAAATAACTTCAATGTTTTGTTTTACTAAAATTATTACAGTTACACGTAACTATAAATTCAAGCAAAATAAATTTGTATTTTTCGTATACTGTGGTTATTATTACTTATACTGTTAATCGAAAATTGCGTCAATAGATTTATGCTTTTAATGATTCGGATTCTTGAACTTCCCCATCGAGTCCCCAGTAAATCATATTTATTTGTGTTTTAAACTTAACCGTCCTAAACTCATCTCTGTTTATCTTCCAAGGAATTTATGTACGTTTACAGTTGCGATTGAACATTAATGTATATTATTAAAAATGATCATTTACATAAAATATCTACACACACGGTATACCTAAATAATACTTGTATACAGGTACTTTATACAACAGAAAACAAACTCTGCGATTGGTTTCAAGTGTCTCATGGGACTATTAAAGCTTTTAAACTTTTTTTAAAATTTGCAGAATTCCACTGAGAGCAGTAAGTTGATTTTTTTGGGATACATCTTAAAAAGTCGAATCTCCACCACGTGTTAAAAAGTTTCAGCTTGTATAACGTCCATTTGCACCTCTATCTCAAGGATCTCTCGGTTCAGTTTTAGACTCAAGTTGATAAAGATAATAGATTGAAATTACGTATTAGCTTAGTAACATCGGCTATTTTATAAAGAATTCTTGTTTGTCTCATTCGCAGTCAAAAAGCTCAGTCGGCCAACAGATGGTATCATCACGCCCTCGGTTTTTTCCTCCTTTCCTTATATAGGCATCCCAATTAAGGGATAAGAATGTAGCCATGGTATGAAAAGTATTTCCACTCTGGGATGAATTTCTTAAAATAATGAAACCTGCGAATTTTCTGTTTATAATAATTTCCCACTGTGATAACGTTATCCTTTTAGCAACAACTTCCACGCGCAGATCACAATGTTGGTTCTAAGTTACCTGCAAGAATTTGGAGCATTCTAAATAAAATATCAATAGAGTGGAGCCAATTTAGACGAGAGAGAAAAAAAGTAACTGAAGTAACAGATTTGCCTAGGATTGGGTGGCACCATTCAACCCTTTAATTTTGTAGAAAAACACATGAGGCCTGAAAATAACAACGAACTTCCACTTTTATTTTTTTATAGCGTTGAATCATCAATTAAGTTACCTGTTATAGGAGAGCATTTAGAATTTAATTTTTCAACTTAGGTGTCAAATCACACTCAGGACACTTGTGTATATAAAGTGAATTACAAGGTTCGAATAACACGTACTGCAAACCAGTTCAAGCCGGTTAAGATCCACCTATAATAAAAACGCGCTTGAACAAAGCATGGTAATATTTTGTTTATTCAAAGAATACTTATTTAACTCAAATAGGCGCTTCTTCGGAATTATGACAATTTATTTGAGAGAAATCATTCTTCATCGAATGAAATCCCTTAACGAAATCTTTCTTTGGTGCTATTCAAAGAAGTATTTCTTTGGTTCAATGACATTTTTTTTCTCAGTGTAGGAAGTCTGAAATAATCTTCCCTTTTTTATTGTTTTAAACATTCTATTTGTGGGCTGTGCTAAAAACCGGCCATGAATTCCTTCGCATTTTACTGAAAAATTATTGCAATGCTTACTCATACTGTGTAAATAATTATATTCTCCCTTGCTCGCGAGTAACATCGTAAAGCCCTTTAAGCGAGGAAATTCATTTGATGAGAAAGAAATTCTACGTACATCATATTATACTGACTTAAATAATGAATGACTAGTACACATCATTCTTTCTTCGTAATTAATTCCTGCCAGAACTGACATATCGAATGTTTTACTTTTGCGTTTATAAATGTTACTTAAGAAGCATGAACTATGTGAACGACTACAGGAGAACCCGAAGATATTGTGAAAACATTCCATCAGTCATGAAATATTAAATAATCAATATAAAACATCAAATCGAATTTTAGTAACATCCTTCAGCTCGAAGAACCACTCCTGTTTTGCAGACATATACGTTTCAACATTATCTTTGTATTCCCTCGAGAAGATAAAATGACAATACCTCGGTAGCCATTTCAATAATCTGTGAAAGCCGCGGATAATAAAAATGGAAATATTTCAGCGCGACTTTTACATGGTGAAGCCATGATGTAAATGGAGCGGCGATGTGACATCGCGTAAATATTTTTAAGACATCTCTCTTATTCTTTGCCCATTTTAAAGCATCTTCGTTCTCGGCGAGATTCGGTGTCACACGTGATACGGAGGCAGCAAGTACTTGTACGAAACTTTTTATCCGAAGGAGGAAACACGATGCCATCCACCGAGGGAGCATTCGCATAAGCCGAGTGACGAAAGTTAGGATTCAATTTGCTGCCGTCATTGGATATTCTGGAGCCCATTTAATTGGTTAAATGACCTTGCGTGCACATCATGCTCTTCCCGTGCTAAGCGAAAGCGTATTATTCTCACAGTAATTTTGCCAAATTATTCGCAAATTAGTGCGTCGGTCTGCAATAACGATTCCCTGACGCGCGTCAGGACTCCGGAGGGGTGACGGAAAAAAAAATGAAAGAGTGGCGAACCTCGAACTACGGTTCGCAAATAAAATGGCCGATTGGAGTGAAATATTTTCATGAAAAAGATAGCAAGCTTAGAATTCTCCAAAATGTGGGGAGCTTCTCTAATAGTTAAGGGGACCATGTGATGACTGAAGAAATAATAATACAGTAGGGGTAAAGAAGTAGCGTTTTGATCGTAGCCCCCACCTAAGAATTGAGGATGACTAGGAGAGCGTTTAACGATTGAAGAAATAATTATTGTTAATGACTCAAATTTTTTAGTTAATACCGATTTCATTGGTCCGGGGGCTAACATGGTAAATTTTCCGACAGTTCCTTGCACGGACCTTGAAGAACGGCGCAAAGTCAAGATATCGGTAACTTCATCTGATAAAGAATCAAGTCACACGAGTATACCATCTACTTAAAGTAATCATACATCGGCTGGCCCGTTATCGTACCGACAATCAGAGTTAACCGGCAAACCGTGAAAGTCAACAACAAAGAAAGTGTCTCTAGGTTATCGTAAAAAATACAGCGAAATTAAAATATCGCTGAGGTAACCAACTTTCCAATTTAACCCGTCGTTTCAGACTTATTGTTCTCTACCGGAAACAGGACCGCAAAAAAAAGGAACAATTCATAAATTCCCAGCCTCGATGAGTCCGTAATTTTGAAACATTTTAAAACTACCTTAAATGGTAGACCCTTCCCGGCGATTTACCCTAGCGCGAAAACAAAACGAAAAAGCGGATTGAGAAAGGGTATCGTTTGTATTACAAATGGGGTGCAACGACAAACGCATTACCAATGTAAGAGATGTGACGTAGGACTTTGGGTATACCCGTGCTTTGAAACTTTTCAATTATCATTATTTATTATGATACCTTATTTAATATTATAAATTAATTATAAATTATAATTATATCTTCTAGTTTCATTATAAACAAACTTATCTTTTATCCGTAATGCATTAGATTTTTTGCAAATTAAATAAAGCGTTAATAATTTACCTCACATCCCTAGATGTTAAAGGATACGTTCTCTCGGCAGTGAAATTTAAGGGCGTCTTCGTTGGGATTACCCCGTATCGGGGCAGCGCGAAAAGAATGAACTTTTTTTCCTTAGTCTCCTCAAGGCCAACTATCCCCAATTATACAAAAATCTCTCGAGTACTCGGACTCCTGGACGACATCCTAGATGATCTAGGATTCATCTTGGATAGATCTTGCTTTGAAGAATCAAGGATGGTGCGCAAAAAACCTTGCTCCGAGCGGTCCCGAGTTTCTATCGCCGCGCCGGTTCCCGCGTAATATCCACCTCGATGCGGTGCACACCGGCGTGTGGCGGTTCGACTCGGGGCCAAGATTTCGGTTTTTGAATGGGAGTGCGTAGAGCCGCTGCGCGCTTCGCGTCGTGAACGGGTCGGACACGTGCCCGCTCCAACCCGCTCGGTGGTGAAGGGCTCTCGCCGGAGGCTGGCCGCATCTCGCGTGCGCTCGGCTCGCCGCAGTCCGCGAGGAACGGCCACTTTCGCGAGACGCGTGCTCCCGAACCCGGTTTCTCGCATTCGCTCGACGCCCGCTCCGAGTCGCGCCTCGATCGGAGACCCACTCTCGACCCGAACCGGTGGTCCACCCGCGTCCGAACTCGATTCAGCGCGTAAGTATCGGCGAAGCCAGCGCGGTCGTTGCCACTTTGTACTTCGTGGTACTAATTATTGAACCCAACGACAAGCTTCCTCGCTGAAGAATATATACACCGTGGAAGGTAAAACGTAGTACAGGTAGCCCTTCTACAACACTGCACCCTATAACACTGTTTCGCTGTAACACGATAAGAAAATTGCGAAAACCTTTGTACAACCCTGTACTCCTAAAGCACTGGATAACATGCTTTTTGTTTAACATATTTAAAAACTAAATCACCTTAAAATAATGGCGGGAAGGAATAACAAACTATAGTACCTTTACATGAAAATAATATTTCTTGTTTTTCTTTTCTCTTTTCGTTTCGTGTTATACATTCATTTATATTTTTAATAACAATTAAGTTGCTTATATGGAATTAAAAAAGAAAGCTTGTTTTTAATAGGGTATCGGAACGTAATCCCCCCTTTTTGTCCTGGCTCTGAGTCTCATATAAGACGGTTTCACCCAACTCGGCATTTTCTAGGAACCTATTTACCGTGTTATAGGAGGGTTACCTGTATCTCGCAGGTCGCACAAGATTGAACGGATGAAAATCTGACGAGGAAAATGTAACTGATAATAAGATATTGGTACATGTGCGAGAGGGCTAGACGCTGCGAATTTTGCGATGGGATGGTATTCACTTCCTCGTCAATGAATGGGACAAAGGGCGGCACTCCGAGGCACGATAATTATTACTTGGCATGAGATCGCGTAGTTAAGCCTGTTTACTGGCTCGATTTAAGAGCCGTGCACGGGTTGTGTGCATTGTGTTCTCATGGGGGAGAGCGATAAATATTTTAAAAAATGGACCCAAGGAATTCCCAGGATATTTTTGTCCTGTATCAAACTTGAAAGTTTCATCGTTGGATATATAAATTGCAGGGACCATTTGTAGATTAAAAAGGTAACCCTCGATTGACTTGAATTTGGTCTTGACAAGAAATGGATTTTAGTGGGCCTGATTACCGTCCGGAGAAGAAGCCAGTGGTGCGATTCGTCACGTGGAATATGTTTGAACAATGATATATGTATTCTTATCATGTAGCTATTTCCGCAGTCAGAAAATATTCCCGGTAGCTCAGATTTGCACGTGCCGAAGTTCCAAACAATTCTGTGCACTAACTTTGGAAACCAGAGGGCTACTTATTTAATTGGTTAAACATTTGCGGAAGTTCACTTACAAATTATTAAAAAAAATAATAATAATAATCAAAAAACTACGTGCATTATTTTTCTCTAGGACAGCGTGAGCTAAACCCAGCTTTGGGTACGATCTGCGCACGAACGCGTATAAGAGAAGTCGAAAGTAATGCTTTTTTTTTTGTTTTACGGGCGAAATCGTCAGAGGCAATGAATGGCATCTTGAAAGATGATACTCGTACAGCCAAATACGAACCGGTATCATTGAACAATCGAGGCTGTTTGCCGCGCTCCGATGGTAGACCGAAGGACATGAATGCTTTCTCTATGAGCACGGTACCAACGGGGTATAACGAGTCGTATCTTCCCTGTACATACGTTCATGTCTTCCACTGTACATACGTCCATACTTGTATGTTGATCTGAACTCGCCTTACCTCGTACACATTCATGTTCAGCCATGTACCCGGCACAAGATGAATATGTATTCCGCGGTTTTGAGACACGGCGTGTTATGCCCATCTTTTGTCTTTTTCTTTTTCCTGAAAAATGGCACGTTGTGATAGTAAAAGCATAGAGAAACTTGTCTTCCAGGAAATCGTCAGGAAAACAGGCCCAAGAAATCACCGTTAAAACGGAGTAATGAAACCTTTAAACCCCGTAACATACCTATGCTATAGAATTATTGTGTATGTATATGTATATATATATTACTTGGAACTTTGGTTGCGTGGTTAGCACTTTTTTTTTCTTGTACCGATAGAAATTCATCGAACGGCGTTTTCACGTATACAGTCGAGCTTTTATTTACATTTTCATTAATTCGACGATTAAGCGGTCAGGCAGTCCAGAGGAATTACCCCGGTTAAGCAAAGTGCCTGCAAAAGCCCTATACGAGTAGTTTGTTTTCTTTCTATACGTATGCGAGGATTCTTTCAGTGGGATCGGAACGTAGTCTTAAAAAAAAAATAAATACCTGCATGCGAATATCGAAGCCCAGTGGAAACTTGCAGTCGCGTCGCTCGGCGGTCGTTGCTCTTCGGCTTTCCAATGTGTTATTCATACGTGTAGAAGATGGGAGTAGATGGAAATTTCACGGGATTCCCCTGCAGGGTTTACCTGTGCAATGACTGCTTATTTTTTTATGGTGTAACTATCTATTTACTCTCGATTTGATATGGGATTCTTTATTCCTGTGGGTACCAATTATACAGCAATATATTTAATTTAAATCAAAACCCAGATAGTGAGAAAATATTACAAGAGAGTAGTCAAAATATCGAGCCTATATTATATTACTGATTAATGTTATATTATTTGCCTATGTATGTTGCTTTCTCAGTATCTACTCGTTACACAAGCGATTACAAAAGAGTATGTTAACGACGTCTTTTACTATGTAATGCCAGTCTTACAGGTATGAGTTCAGTGTGTCATGCAGGATAGCATTCACGCCCTTTCGTAATCAATATACGTAATTATCCTTAATTGACTGATGTTACCATGGGCGGTTAGTTATGCATTTACTGTGTGTACAAATCCTTGTGCATGTAACCGATGACGATCGGTAAATTATCGCCGTGGAGATTATTATTGCTCCGTGCTCTTCGCGTTTCGACACATATATAATTATTATCAGCAAATAAACCCGGAAAACGTATTTGTATTTTGGCACTGCATTATGCTTGAAATAGTCCAGCATACATAATTACTAATTCATTATAGGCAAAGAGCCAGTTCAATTTTCGCAGAATTCCCGAGCTGTTCTACCAGCTGTTCTTAAATCTGCGGTTTTTATTTATTTTTTTATTTTGTGCACAAAATAACCATGATTGGCTTAATGCAGTGGATTCGTCATTTTGTTGTCTGGGAGAAAACCTAATTAAGTCTGATGTCATACGTGGTCCTGATGTTGCTTTTTGAAAAAAAGGGGGAAACACAACTTTTATTGTGATTCAAAGGCGGATCGTCATTGCTGAATAATCTTTCTTGTGGTCAAAATAGTACGAAGACATTGTAGAGTGTCTTTTATTAATGGATCAGTAATAATACGTATTGAATAATTCTTGATTCCACTCCGAAGCAGAAATTCAGAATATGTTTCGTTGATTAACAGCGTAATTAAAATGAACGAAAAATATATAATTGTATGAACAATTGGCGGTATGATGTGGCTACAGAACTTTATTCTTCCAGAATTATTATATATGCGTTGGATTATACGGGAGTTTATTATATTTGTCATTCTGGGAACGAGAATTAATTATTTCTTTATTTCAGCTCACTTGAACCAAAATGGCGCTACCGAAAGGAGTGAAGTATTTCTTTTCGGAGAACGTATTGACGCTTTTGACCGTTGTCGGTGTTTGCGCTGGTACAGCACTTGGACTCATCCTTAGAAGTGCTAAAACGGATGAATGGACTCCACGAGAAATAATGTACATACAATACACGGGAGAAATGTTTCTCAGAATGCTTAAAGCTCTAATACTCCCTTTGATCGTCGCCAGTATTGTAAGTGCAATTGGGAGTCTCGATCTTAATTTATCAGGTATGAACAGTGCAGATTTAATTGTAATTCCGGACAGCATTATAAAGTAGCATTAATTTTGCGCTTTAGAGTTCTACGATGACATATTACTTAATGGAAATCAAATCATCGTACGTCGATCTTTAAATGTTTAAAATATCTTAGTTCTGATCAGAGAAAACTTTGAGATAATCAGCAAATCTGTGAAGAACGCGTAATCAGCTTTCTGAAAATCCTTTTCTTTTACAGGGAAGATCGGTATGCGGTCGGTGTATTATTATGGCACGACAACGATAAGTGCGGTAATTCTTGGTATAATTCTTGTACTGATTATTCGTCCCGGTGTCTCAACGGGACACTCTTTTGTTGCTCAACCTGAATTAGTTAAGTCGCGAAACGTTACCACAGCAGATACTATTCTGGATTTAATTAGGTATGATTATTCTAAAGACATTATTTCAATGCATGAAAACAACGTTTAGAATAGTAATTAATTCGAGAAATTAACGTTCTATAATTATCAAAATGTCTCTTTTTTTTTTTTAGAAATATATTTCCACCTAATCTAATTCAAGCTTGCTTGCAACACGTAAGTGATCATCTTATATATTTTTACGTTTCTATTTTGTCATGTTATGCATAAGCTGGGCTAATTTTTCTTTCAAAATGAAAACAGTGTTGGATTTTTATATTTCAATCGTTGATATTATTTTAGTATCGAACGGAATTGGTGGAGCCGAAAAATATTTCCGAGGGTAAGTTAAATTATACGAAACTATGTTAATGCGGGAATTCACAATTTCGATTATAGTTAATAGTGAACCTTTATGCTAGATTTACAAATGATACATATTTATGTTTTGTATAGCGAAAAGTATATATGAATGGGAGATTGAGGGCAAGTACTCAAATGGAATGAATACTCTCGGTCTAGTCATCTTTAGCATTGTTTTTGGCGTTACTCTTGGTAAAATGGGCGAACCGGGAAAACCTCTTTTGGATTTCTTCACCGCACTGACCGATGCTATGATGATTATCACCAACTGGGTTATTTGGTACAGTAACAATTATTATTACACGTTTCATTTTAAGTATAATTGAAAGTTTAGCAATATCTTTTAAGAAGACGCTAATATTTTATTTAAACGTTACTCCATTTTAACCATCATGTTATTTCCATTTTCAGGCTTTCTCCCATTGGCGTAACGTCTCTGATTGCGGCAAAGCTGTTAGAGATTGAGGATTTCGGTGTTATCGTTGGACAGTTAGGGCTCTATTTTTTGACCGTTTTACTGGGATTAATAATCCACGGCTTTGGTACTCTCTCGGTCATTTATTTCGTCTGTACCCGAGAATTACCTTTCAAAGCCTTAGGACAAATGGGACAGGTGATGGTTACGGCATTTGGAACGGCTTCGAGGTAACGTTTTCAAGTTTTTCTTTGGAATTGAGTTTCTCCTTATCTAAGGAATTTATAATTCCAGTTCTGCCACATTACCTGTTACATTACAATGTTTGGATAACATGGGTGCGGATCCGCGGATAACCAGATTCGTTGTGCCAATCGGAGCGACGATAAACATGGATGGAACTGCGTTATACGAAGCTGTTGCTGCAATTTTTATTGCACAAGTGCGAGGCATTAACCTGACCCTTAGCAATGTTATTGGTATTAGGTACTGATACGTATATATTTATTGCTTCTTATTTTCGCTGTCTAAAAATGTTGAATGGAAGTTCCTCTCCTATTATTATTACTAGATTTATTCTCCTGAATTTAGTACCAGTACCATTAGTGGAATTTTCTCTCGAATAGACATTTCGTTTATAAGAGAAATAGCTGTAGAATTTAAAAGAGGAATTATTGAAAATTTCCAACATATATCCGCTAGTGGTTTCTGTTGCTGTGCTTATCTTTATTAATATATGTTCTTTCATTGAAATATAGTGTAACGGCGACAGCGGCTAGTATAGGAGCTGCCGGTATACCTCAAGCTGGTCTTGTTACAATGGTAATGGTCTTGGATACGGTTGGTCTACCAGCTGATGACGTTTCATTGATTCTCGCAGTTGACTGGCTATTGTAAGCTTTCATTTATATTATTGCGATATATGACACGTACAAAACAACACGAATCAATTGTCGCTAAGCATTTAAGTCAACTTTCTATTTAGAATGCCACTTTTAAATTATAATTGCAGATATGAACATTCGTTTAAATATCACATTTATAAGTAGCGTTTTTGAAAATTTTACATATAAAAATGGTAAAGATTGTGATTATTTTTTCTTAACGTTACTAAGGAATTCCAGGATGTTTTAATTGCCATATATTGCATATCAAACCTACTCCGTTATTGCCATATTGAATACTTCACACTTGTTTTATATCTTCTTTATAGGTATTTCAATTATTGTTGCAGCTCAATGCATTTGAGAATGTTAATGTTTTTTCCAGGGACCGATTCCGTACTACCATCAATGTTGTGTGCGATGCTCTTGGAGCCTGTATTATCGAACGTATGAGCAAAGATGAAATGGGTGCCATTCCAGTAAGTCAACAGGAGGAAGTCATCGAACTTTCCCAACATAGAAAACCCGAAATATAAATATATTTTCACGTATTCACATGAATAACTACTTGTTACCCGGTATTTTGCTTTAGTCGAGAAAGACTTCAGATCTGTAGAAAATCAACTCTACAACTGTCAATGTGAATTTTAATCTTTCAGTACGTACTTTACCTACTGCATGATATTACATGCAATCATACCTTAATATTATTATTAAGTCACTCTTACATCTAATTAACATGAAGACGTTACGGCATTTCTTGATAATAATGTGCCATTGGAACTACTTCAGTTAAATTTTATATGACTGTTAGTATTTTAATTAGCAAATTCTTCTACTTAAAGGGAAACGATACTTATTGCATTATGATACTTATCTCTTAAATTACTGCAGGTGCGGTAAATTGTATTATCTACAGTTACACATATATGTAGAAAATCTGTTTTTTATTGCAATATATTTTAATAGACTATTATAATTTGAAGTATGAATTCAACAAGGAAGAAAATGAAAGGCTTAATTTTTATTTCCTGGAATTGTATGCTTATTTGACAAATTATTTCAAAGAACAATTTAAAAAGAAACGTTAAAATCTTGCTTTACGGATTTTTACAAAAATTCTGCTGGTATTTAAAAAACGTTCATTTACTGTAACATTCATTATCATAAATGTTGTATAGATATTTGATATATCCATACTTAATTATGTTATTTTTATTAATTTTAACTTTTTATACTACAATGGTAATACTTTTATATACTCAAATTATTTCTGTATGCTTTGAAGGAAAAAGGATACAACTTAACACATACATAAAATAATACGATTTAGTATTATTATTGAAATTAGTTTATTTACAAGCATTTCATTGTATACGTACACTCCATCGAAGTAATAATGGAAAGACATTTTGTAAAATAAATGATTGTGGATTAGTTTTGTATCTCCATTAAATTTTAATTCATTTTTAGAACGATGCTATTCATTAAAAACAAATTAATTTTAAGTAGTAAGTCCAGATTGTATTTACATAGACAAGCCATTATACATAGATTAATTCAAAGAATTAATCATTATGTGATTCCACTGTATTATGAATCGAACAATTTTTTATCAATACAAAAAAGAACTCTTTTACATGGAATTTAATCATTTTATTATAAGTAAATAAATATCATCAAAAAGAAAAAAAAGAATAGTATATGAGTAAAGTAATTACATTCATTAAAAGAATTTTACACCCTGATTGTCATCGAACATGATAATCTCAGCTTTTCTAGAAGCTTCCAAAGTCCGAAGTGCTCTAATTAGCACTTCTGTGTCCAGCCCATGAAATTCTGAAAGTAATGTAACAATTGCACATGAACTATACAGATTGCACATGTAACTGACAATCATACCTTGATCAATAGTATCATCTCCTTGTGTAAGTTCAAAGAAAGTGCAGACGGAGCCAATAAATCCGTTGTCTTGCACCCAGTTATATATTATTTCTCCCCATTCTTCCAGTGTATGCCAATAAACTAACCATCTTTGTTTCGTCTTATCCAAGGGGCTCGCGTTCCCTGACTTTGCCAATTCTTCCAATACTATGACAATTACGTCAGAAGGCAATTTTCCTGTTATTTCTATTTTAGGAAAATACATATTGAAATATATTTAAAGAGTTAACTTTGACTATTGTAAACCAATATAGTATAACATAATGATTTAAAAAAAAAGTGTAACAATGATACTTAAATGACTACGTAGAAAGTATAATTAAATATGCTCCACATAGATTGGATCTCTTAAGTATATTTTTTAATATCTCTAATCGTAACTTTATTTATTCAATAAAAATTGAGACAATTTTTTAATGAAAATTAAGAAGTAAACATTATGTCTTACCACGATTTAAATATAATTTGCACTCATATTATATAGCTTTTCTATACTCTATGCTAATATTTTAAGGATACGGTCAATTGTAGTATTGTGGAAGAGAGGACAATTATGCACCTCCCGAATATCTAACACTGCTTCTTTTGTAACACGGTAATATTCTAATATTAAATTCTTCCACGCTGCTAATTGCTTTTCTCTGGTTTCCGTATGTGGTTGAAGCCTACAATCATTTATAAACTGTGTGCAGTTAATAAACAGATAATAATTAATGTGACCTTGCCATCTTAAACACAAAACACATGTTTAGTGGTATTTAAATCACAAATTAAATTTGAAAATTATATGAGAACTGCACCTTGAGAAATTTAAATAAGAATATATATTTGTTATCTTTTGAGAATGTAGCGATAAATTGCGAATAAATCCTAGTGACTATTAAAGACAAAATGGACAAAGAACAAAATTAAACATTACTTAAAGTTAGGTTAAGGACGAGCGATGTCAGCCCAAAGACTTACGTAAAAAAGGGAGGAAAACTGTACTGCCAAGGCCATTGAATTTCTGTCATTACTGCTATGACAGTAATCGTTTCAGACTGTAAGAATAAATATTACTTTCATTTGACGATCAAAGTGACATTAACCCTCGCGTGATCATGAACTGTTGCCAACGCATGAAGTAGAAAACTCGCTACATGGCAATGTTGTAGTTCATTATTTTTAAGACATATCAGAGATCAGAGATGACAGAGGAGATGAGTTGGGAGATTGTTACCGGGCAGGGTGGCGCGATCGCGTCCTGTGCTGCCCTCTGGTTTCATACGTTAGCTTTCGCCGTTTTTTCCCCCAAGGGCGGCGCAACGAATTTCTGGTAGGGGATCGCGCACTCACGATGGCGGTACCATCTACCAGTCATAGTTGGCGGCTCATGTACCCGTGAAGGTAATACCATGCGGCAGTTGACGGTGGTGGCTTACCTACGCTTACCGACACTGTACGCTTTCGATGGTAAGGGAAGAACACTCGTGGCGCCCTTTTTACTCTAAGTACATTGTTGCCCCGAAGTCGACGTAATACGGAGCTTTGGGGCACGCGTAGATGTCACGTACGGAACTCGCATGCAGCGAATTTGTGCGAGTGCGATCGTTCCTAGAAATCTTCGCGCGTCGCAACCAGTCAAGCGCCAAGCTACGGGGCGAGGCGTTGAGTATGAGTGCGTTCGGCGCTACACTCATAACGAGTATGCGTGAGAGCCGAATGCAGCGAAAAATCCTCCCTAGCCGCGGATATGAGCCGAGTGATTTCGCGTATAATTTTTACATTTACCTACTAGCGTTATCAAGCGTTTTTCGACCGTTTTCAGAGCGTTTTCGACCGTTATCGACCATTTTTCGAGTGTTTTTGAGCGTTATCGAGTGCCGTAGAGTCCCGTAGAGTCCCGTAGACTCCCGGAGAGTCCCGTAGAGTCTCGTAGAGTCCCGTGGAGTCCCGTAGAGTACCGTAGAGTCCCATATAGTGCCGTAGTGTGCCCGTAGAGTCCCGTATAGTCCCGTATAGTCCCGTAGAGTCCCGTAGAGTGCTAGTAGAGTCCCGGAGAGTCCCGTAGAGTACCGTATAGTCCCGTAGTGTGCCCGTATAGTCCCGTACAGTCCCGTATGGTCCCGTATAGTCCCATATAATGCCGTAGTGAGCCCGTAGAGTCCCGTATAGTCCCGTA